TGGGTGCAGGAAGGGCGGTTTTTTTGGGAGCCGACGGAAAGCCGATCGTGATTGAGAAGGTGCTGTTTGTACCGGAAATGACAGCGAACCTGATATCGCTAAGGAATTTGGCTATTGCTGGAGTGAACACTGAAAGCAGAGGCGGACGGTTCAAGGGAACGTTTGGAAGCAGGGTGCTTTGGGAGCTGTGCGATGAACGGAGCCGTGATAATGAGCTGTGGCGAGTACCTGCTGTGCCATGGAAGAAAGTTGCAGCACAAACTGCTGAGAAGGGGAGCATCATTGAGGGGGAGTCAATGACAGTTAGCATGGATGAGATAAACGAGCTGAAGCAGATAGGGGTGCAGCTGGTTGAGCAGCTGAAGGCCATCGCCTCCTGCTTGAAGAAAACCAAATCTAAGGGAAGAGTTGCTTTTAGGGGGAATAAGGCTACTACTCGGGTGAAGGTGTGCGGGGCAACTCCAAAGCGACTATTGGAAGTTGCCAAAGGACTACGCAAAACCATGCGTAACAAGGCCTCCAAGGATCAACAGCGCTGTAGTAAGAGAAAGGGAGACATTGAGGATGGTGGTGCAGGCGCAACTAGCTCAATGAAGAAAGATGCGCCGCCAAATGCTACATTCAGAAATGAAAAGCATGGACGCATTGGAATGGGAGCGAAGTTGAACAAGACTGCGCATGAAGGTCCAACCAAATGTTTTGTGCAGCGGCATGGGGTTGAGAAAGAGCAGAGTGCTCAGAAGACATCTGGGGACACTGTCACTGGTTTTGGCAATGCTGTGAAGAATCAAGATGCATCGGCATTCACCACCATTTTGAAGCAGCTCGAGCAATGGGTGCATAACATAATGGGAGCGATTGCTACATTCTCAACGGCAATAAATGAGGAGGAAAGCGGGGAGCAGCGATGCCATTAGGTTTGGACCAAGTGAGAACGATGCAGCAGTCGAAGGGACAACACTGGAAGTTTGGAACTTTTGATTGGGGGTGAAGCTGATTGCGATTCCTCCCAGGGGTGAAGCAGATAATTGAGGAAGCTGATTGGGGCCAGCCAAGGTTGATGAGCGGCAACAATTCTTCAGGATGCCACCGTTTATCAAAGATATGAGGGAGCCGGAGCAGCGTGCACGAAAGTAATAGAAGACAACGCAAATATATCCGCAGTGACTAAAAGGTTGGGGAATGGAGAAGTGAGCAGCGGAGGGGTCTTGACATAAAGCCAACAAGTTGAGGGGGAGTTTTGTTGGGTACAGTAAAGAATTCATATATTCTTTATTGTACTTGTCAACCTGCTGGCTTTTATCAAGAAATATAAATGGCAGCTGAGGCAAAAGGCGAATCTCTAAAAGCTGGGTGTGGAATCGACCAATCGGAGTGAAGCACGGAGGAGAATGTGGTATTATGAGCAGGAGAGGCGAAATTCGGTTCAGCCTCTTGATTTCGACCAATGGGAGCAAGGCGCGGATAAAAAACGTGGTGTTTTGAGTTGGAGGGGCGAAATGAACATTGACCAATGGGAGGGGTTGCTGTTCAAAACGGAAGTTTGACTTTGAGTCAGCAGCAAACTGATCGAGAGGAGTCAGAAGCTGTTTCCGCTGCATTATTGTTTCTGTAGCTGTGATTGGCTGCTGTTCATGCGAAGCGTTCATCGCTTAGAGAGCAGCTACTCGCGCTGCTACATTTCGGGTGTTCGGATTGGCTGGTGATCGAGTTGGCAGTTGCTCAAGTGTTCGAGCGGGCAACTGCTCGTGCCACGTGGAGAGTAGCGCGAGTGTTACCCGCTCGCGAATCATTTTTAGTGCTGGTGGCGAAACCAGCGAGATGCTCGAATAAGTTCTGTTCTGAATAGCACTGACAGTTCGGATCAAAAGGACGTTCACGCCTCGAGACCGAGAGGCACATGTGGCGAGTCACGGTTCGTTGAAAGCGTGAGCTCGCGACCAACTTTCGAACGGGCCTCATCGCAACCGTTCGGATTGAGCGCGAAGAATATTTCTCGGATCGCCATCGTCGAGTTTGTTGACGCGCGAACTTCAAAATGTTCCGTCGACGCGCTTGCCAGGTCAGGAAAGAAATTAGAGGGAAATTCAATATGTGCTCGCGCTGCGTAAACTGAAACAGGAAAACTAGAACAGGATAGGAAGGGTTAGAATAGACTAGGCATAAAACAGTTTGTGTTTGCTTGTTCAAAACATAACTTGAGTTGATTCTTCCTCCCACGCCTGCTGCAACAACGCTACCAGTCTTCAAAGTTTTTGACAATCTGCAAGTTACTCTCTCTACACGCTCGGACCCTTGGATAGGGGCTAACGTTAGTCAGGCACCCAAGGACCCTTGGAGGTGACCCCGAGGAGAGTGCTGGCAGTGTTGAAAGAGGCGATTAGTAGCTAGGCTAGTGCGTTCTAAGACTAACATTGCTGTCCCCTTCACTTGCCCCTTGCTGTTTTGACACATCGTTGTCACGCTTGGGGCTGCAACCCCTTCGTGGAGAGAACGAACGGTTGTTGCTGGTGTGCAGTTTTGTCCTCCCGCGGGTATGCGGTTTCCACCCTGGTGGTGACCAGCCAGGCGGTGCCTTGGTACACTTGAAAAAGGGATGGTCTGGCTCCTTGCAGTACCAATACACGAGAGATGAGCGACTTGCATCTCCATCCTTGCCATGCGTTTTCTCCCCAATGGACCCGTCCTTCCTGCGATTGCCCTTAGCACTTGGAGAAGGTGAGCGGTCTCCACGTGCTTGTCCAGCCATGCGAGGTGGACGCCGGTCACGATTATCCTTCGTGATGAGGTCGTGATATCTCTGCTCCTGAATCATCATCCGCTGCAAAGTGAAGCTGTCCGTCACGTTGTGTAGCATTGCCGAGTGCCTCATCTCCTCCCAATATGCCGGTAGTCCGGTAAGCAGGTTCAATGTGAATGTGTCCTCATCCACCATCTTCCCCGTTAGTGCCAACTTTTCCCGGATTGCCGTTGCGCGGTTCACGTACTCTTCCACCCTCTCTTGACTCCCCATTTTCATGTTGTCCAACTACTTCAAGTGAGCGACCTTCGCCACCGAATCTTTGGCCTGGTAAGTATGCATCAAGTACTCCCAAGCTTCATATGCCGGGCTGTAGGATTCCTGGAACATGTCCAGCTCTAGCTGAATCGTGGCGCTCACGCTGTGCAGTAGGACCCAAAAAGCGAGCACCGCACGCTGTGAATTATCCGCTTGTAGCATTTCCAGCCGCTCCATAGCGTCGTTAATGTCACCATCTCCCATGGTAACCGGATATTGCAGGGTCACAAAGAACTCCCACAGATTCGTGACGCGAGCGTTCATACGAAACCGTAGTGCCCACTCCCGGAAGTTGGAGCCATCAAACGGAGTGGTGGTGAACGCCTTGTCCACGGTTGCTCCAATCATTTTGCGTGACAGTAGTTCCTTGTCTTCTTCCGTATATTCACGTGGAGCGGGGTCGAAGAGAGTAGGCACGGTTGACGGTCGAGGTAGCTGCATCGTGTGCCGCATATTCCCATTCTGTCTTCCAAGTTGACGTTCCAGCACTTCCACTTGATCACGTCGCATGGCGCCACTTGACTGCATTCCGTATCCCATCCGCCCCATGCTGTCCACATAGTGTGCGCCTATCGGTGGACGTGGTGCACGCGGAGGTACGTCATAGCCGCCATGAAGGTGAGACCTGGCCATGGGAGGAACTCCAATGGGATGGGAGTTGGTCGCAAGTCGTCGTAGTGGGGGAGCACCAATAGTGTAGGAGGCGAATCCCACACCTTCCACGCCCACTTCACCATTTCCGTCACCCTGATGCCCAATCTGTCCACTTCTCATTCCACCATGCACTGCACTCCCATACTCATCATTCCTCCCCCGTGTTTCCGTTTGCATGGATGATTGAGGTTCGGGATTGGCGCTCTCCTCTCCTTGGACAGATGCATCCCTCCATTGGGATGACTCTCCTCATTGAGGTATGCCCATTTCCCCTTCACCATCAATTCCTGCATGAACATTTGCACGAGTTTGGTTAGTACGTGGAGTGCTTGAATGAGAGTGTCCACGTGTGGACGGATTGTTGGACTCATGAGAGAACGTTGTCCTTGGCTGGATTGTCATTCCAAACTTGTCCCTTAACGAAGCTTGGAGTGCTGGTGGTGCCTTTGCAATCATGCTTTCCATGTGCTCATGCTGAGCCATGATGTCTTCTTCAAAAGCCGCATATCCAGGATCCACTTCGCCATCGAAGTGCGCCATGACCTTGACAAAACCGTCCACCAAGTGTGCGGTAAACGCGCGGTTGTAACGAACAGCGAACACCAGGTGTACGAAAGCGTAGACCGGGTGTGCGGTACTCTGACTGTATGCAGGTACCTATCCGAAGTGAATGCCAGTAAATTCCTAAACCAATTTTGGCAGCATGCCCCTTAGAGTAGCTCTGATACCATGCTAGAAAGGCATAGTGCCAGCGTAGCGGAAATGTGTTTGTAGAAAAGAACAAGATAGAAATCTTGCATTGATCATTGAAAAGTAGAATGATAACACAATGATTACTCAATGATGATGAAGAAGTGACACAGCAAGGTATATATGCATCCAGCTACCCCTCCAGAATGACCCATTCACACCAATAATAGTGTACCAATAATTGTACCCTCTACCCTCCAATAATACTGACCTCCAATAATTCTGGCCCTACAATAATTGTGACAATTATTGTAGGCCTTGGAGGCTTATAAAGGGGACTACACTAAAACCAAACAGCACACCAGTATACAGTATTTGCTATATTGTATTCGGATTTCCAACATAGAACCCCAAATTGGAAAAAAAAACACACACACATACGCACGCACGCACATATATGTACATATCATTTATATATACCTCATAAGACCCTAGAGTACTTTTTCCGGTAAAATACAATATTGGTATGGTAGCGTTTCTCGACATTCACACTCAGCTGTCGAATGGAAATTGCTACTTGTCAATGTTGAAACATACCTTATCCTTCAGCCAAGTTGTCTTCAATAATCTGAAGCTGCTCGTCAAAGCTTAACACATTGGCAACCACCTCCTTTTCTTGGACCTGTGCATCCACTTTGACAGCCGCGCTCAGCTCCTCTTTCCCCACCACCTCCTCCCGGATGGCCTGCAGCTCGTTGGCGACGTGTGCCATGCTTGGGCGGGTTGCAGAGCGATCTGCAGTGCAGGAGAGGGCGAGCCGTGCCACACGCAGCACAGCGTCTGCAGGGGCGTCCATGGTGGGGTGGTTGAGGCTGCCCAAGTCCTCCGAGGAGAGGCAGTTGGATGCCTGAGGGAGTGGAGCGGGCGGGAGAAATAAAAATCAGAGTAAGGTGAGCAAGGTCAACAAGGTGTGGACAGAACACCGGTTGGCATCATTGAGAAAGTGCTACCTGAGTTCTTTTGTACATTCTAGCTGTGAGGCGTCTTCGTTTTTGGACCCAGAGCACGCACAAGCCGCGCAATTACGGGGATTTATTTTGCTGCCCGGGTGGTAACCACAGAATTCACCTGCCCAGACTGTAGCAAAGTGTTTTCCCGCCAAATATTTCCAGGTGGCGATGCGTAAGACTTAACAACAACCAACCACTAGGCAGCGGACACGGTTGTTCCCTTCTGTTATTGAGAGGACACCATCACAGAAAACCTGGTCTCTTGGATAGGATGCTTACCCATCTTTACTTTTGAGTCCACTCAGAACTCAACTTGGTGTTCCCTTCTGCTATAGAGAGGACACCATCACAGAACACCTGGTCTCTTGGATAGAATGCTTACCCATTTTGAGGTGCCTCAAACCTTTGTTCCCTTCTGCTATTGAGAGGACATCATCACAAATACCTGGTCTCTATTTTATATAGAGGATGCTTACCCATTTTGTGATCAGCTGGCCCTCTCCATCAGCCTCCACGAATGGTGGGCGTCCCGTAAACACGACCAGCATGAGCACTCCAAAGCTGAGAAGAAGAGTTAAAATGCACATGATGATCAAAGCACACGATGCAGAGGAAGATCCAGAGATGGAGGCACTTCACATGAATCTTGCCACCTAGATGCAGTGTGCACAGGTTCATGGATTGCACAGGTTCGTGGATTGCACTTGATCATGGATTGCACTTGTTCATGGATTGCACTTGATCATGGATTGCACTTGTTCATAGATTGCACAGGTTCATGGATTGCACTGGTTCATGGATTGCACTTGATCATGGATTGCACTTGATCATGGATTGCACTTGTTCATGGATTGCACAGGTTCATGGATTGCACTGGTTCATGGATTGCACTTGATCATGGATTGCACTTGTTCATAGATTGCACAGGTTCATGGATTGCACTGGTTCATGGATTGCACTTGATCATGGATTGCACTTGATCATGGATTGCACTTGTTCATGGATTGCACAGGTTCATGGATTGCACTGGTTCATGGATTGCACTTGATCATGGATTGCACTTGTTCATGGATTGCACTTGATCATGGATTGCACTTGTTCATAGATTGCACAGGTTCATAGATTGCACTTGTTCATGGATTGCACTTGTTCATGGATTTCACTCGTTCATGGATTGCACTTGTTCATGGATTGCACATGTTCATAAATTGCAAATGTTAATGGATTGCACATGTGCACACATAGCACTTGAAGCCTCCTCAAATGCTTTTATAGGACATCCTGTTAAGATTTCTAAGGGTCTCCAGCCTCACCTGTACACATCCCTGCCTCACCTGTACACATCACTGGCAGTGGTAGCCTTGCATGTGCTGAAGTAGGCCGGATCCACATAGCCCGGTGTGCCCATGACACGCGTCGTGCTTACAGAAGTGCCCTTTTCCATCCTCACCAGCCCAAAGTCTGCAATCTTTGCCTGGTTATGAGAGACATTGTAGCATGAGGGATGAAGAGCAGAGCATGATAGATGGTTGCATGTGTTAAAATTCACAACAGAACATGACTTCATGCTCGGGGCAAACATGAAGGTGTTCGCTCCCAAAACACCACTTTTCCTGAAAGTGTTCGTGTTCACATCTTACCCATACCTACTTGTAACCTCGAACACATAAACACTTTATTCTGAGAAGAATTGTTCGTGGCGAAACTGAATTCGAATGCGTTCAGTTTGAATTCGTAAGTGTTCGTAAGGGTTCGAGGCAAACACGCTTGAGTTTGGATTATGCTCAACTTCGCTGTGCCACTCAGGATTTGGTCCCGTTCTCATTAGGTACCTTTTCCAGACTCGAATGCATATGCTGGCAAATTAAAAAAACCGGGGTACTCATTCAACATGCCTCGGAAAGAGATTTAAGTGGTGGCAACTCTTGCAGTTTTGCCCTGTGAACGCACAAGTGCTAAAGAACACACGGAACGCTACGATAGTCGAAGTGGAGTGACTCTCCCCACAAAGCACACCACGTAACTGGGCCATCAAAGGTTAACCCGTGATGCCCATTAGGTTGAACGGGCACCCCATTTTGAAACAACTATGCCTTCGCCAAAAAAAATATTATGGTATTCAAACGATCGTCCGCAACCAAGCTTGCCTGCATGTCGTCGGTGATGAGGACATTGCCAGGATTGATGTCGCGATGCACGATGCCAAAGCTGTGGAGGTACTCCAAGCCCCGTCCCAAGCCGATCAGAATGTCCAGCCGCTGCTTCAGAGTCAGCGGGCGCTCGGCATCTGCAAGGAATAAATGGCAGCATGAGTGGCAAAGAAGATGAGTGGCAGAGGATGAGTGGCAGAGGGCAGGCTACATCTCAAGGATGTGTGGTACAACATCTTTGTGACACAGCGTATTTGTGGCAAGCTGCTTCACAGTCAGAGGGACACACTGCTTGTGCAAGGATGCACAACATATTTGGAACAGCATATGAGAGGCACAGGAAATGAGCGGATGGCATATCAGTGGCACAGCATGAGTGGCACAGCATATGACAGGCACATCAAAACATGCGAGGCACAAAAAGAGATCACAATGGAGTGGAGTGGCCCCCTTACTTGGATCAATCCATTCGCGAAGGTCGCCATTGGGCACGTATTCATAGATGAGAACTTGCTCCGGCCGTGACCTCAAGTCGCCTCCGATCGCAAACCCAAGAAGCCTCACAATGCTGGGATGGTTCTTGTCGGCCATCTGCTGGATCTGACCCACACAGCCAGAGAGGAAGGGTGAGATGCAGGGAAGAGGAACAGATTGAAAAATGGGACCAACAAACACATTCAACCAAGGATGCAAATGCAAAGCGAAGAAGGAAAGACACAATTTATATATAGACTAGAAACCGATGCATTGTGAGTATACAAAAATATCTAGGCAAGGAATGGGAAATGTCACTTAGGCCACAGAGACACGCCATTGTATTATGGTTCACCGTGGCTCACCACAGATCACTGAGCACCATATCCGCGCCTCACTTACCTCCCTTTGGAAGTCCACATCGATCAGCCTGGCGCGCTTCACAGCCCACAAGGTGGTGCCATCGCGGGGAGACACGCCCTTGTACACATCGCCAAAGGCACCCGAGCCCAGCTGGTTGTCTTTTGCCCAGTCATTGGTGGCCTTGACGACCTCCTCTATTGAGAACTCCGTACAGTGCGAGGCTGCCAGGCTGCCATCCGCGCCTGCTCAAGGTGTCAGAGGTGATAGGAGGCACATGAGACCAGCTGGTGGTCATGGGACCAGTCACTGGTGGCCTTGACGACCTCTTCTATTGACAAATCCGTGCAATGCGAGGCTGCCAGGCTGCTGCCAGTGCCTGCTCATGGTGTCAGAGGTGAAAGAAGGGCAGAGGGGTGCAGGGAGATAGGCTTGAGCACGAATTGGATTGAGTAGTTGTGAGTCGAGCATGATTATACTAGCAGACCTGCATGGTCATGTCACCGCTTATGTAGTGAAAACATTGTACTCCTCTTAACGCTATGTTGCAAACAGCCACACACAACTGCATCATCAACAGAGTTTGGTTAATCAGAGTATACCCTTCCTGCGCCGGACGTAAAGCAGAGTGGCGCCCAGAAGCAGGAGAAGGACCACAGCAGCAACAACAATGCCAATAATGACTCCCACTGACATTCCACCTCCATCCCCTGTTGAAGGAGAATCGCTGTTGCTGAAACTGGTGGTGCTGCTGCCGCTGCTGCCTTTGCTGATTTCTGCGAATGACATGAGCATGGGTCCACGCACGCAGTGGGGATTGCTGCAAGCTGATCATTAACAGAGATAGCAAGCGAAAGGTTCCATTCTCAACATGCCTTGTACTGTACAGCACCGTGCAATCCCATGCGTTGCCAAGCAATCCCATGCATTGCAATGCATCTCTTGCTACATACCCTGGGATAGCCTAGCACTGATACCTCTGGTGTGTATTGACTTGCCTGCGGATTGGTTGGTGCAAGTATTGCAGAAGGGTCTACACGTGCGGCAAAATGAAGTTTTGGGAGATTGTTTTACGCCACAGGTGGAGTTGTCGGGTGGGCATGTGAGGTTGGTGCCAGAGATGTTTCTGCGGAGGAAAGGGGAGATGAAAAGGCGGAAGTATGGGCAAAGCTGCACAGACATTCAGTTCAGGTTCAACCAAAATAGTGGTAGGCTATTTGGGGTAGGCATGTTAACCACGGTAGGCGTTCTCAAGGTGGGAACGGCATGGGGATGGTGTCTAGGTTGGCCATGGAGACATTACCTTGCCTGCACCCCGACAAAAACTCCAAGTCACTGTAACTCCTGAAACATTGCTCTCCTTAAGCCAACCATGAGCCTTCATTGCAGCATTAGATCAGCCTCCCTCGCTCTGCTTACAAGTCCATTTCGGATCCGGTACAGGCTCAAGTTGTTTGAAGAGTTCCAGGTCCGATTCAGGTTCAGGGCTTGCTCAAGCGTACTCACAAGTTGAAAGTCTGGCTTGGGGTGCTACTTGCTCAAGTCTACTCACAAGTACTTCAATTTAGTGAGGCCTCCCATCTCAGACGAAATCTCCCCACTAAGGTTGTTATCAAAGAGGTTTCTGTTCACATGGGTCGGACGGAAAGTGTCAGTGTAAGCCCTGGTAGGAATGCAGGAACGCAGCGACATGCATCCACCGATTTACATGAAGGCATGAATTCATCCATCCACATGAAGGCATGAATTCATCCATCCACATGAAGGCATGAATTCATCCATCCACATGAAGGCATGAATTCATCCATCCACATGAAGGCATGAATTCATCCATCCACATGAAGGCATGAATTCATCCATCCACATGAAGGCATGAATTCATCCATCCACATGAAGGCATGAATTCATCCATCCACATGAAGGCATGAATTCATCCATCCACATGAAGGCATGACATGAATTCATCCATCCACATGAAGGCATGAATTCATCCATCCACATGAAGGCATGAATTCATCCATCCACATGAAGGCATGAATTCATCCATCCACATGAAGGCATGAATTCATCCATCCACATGAAGGCATGAATTCATCCATCCACATGAAGGCATGAATTCATCCATCCACATGAAGGCATGAATTCATCCATCCACATGAAGGCATGAATTCATCCATCCACATGAAGGCATGAATTCATCCATCCACATGAAGGCATGAATTCATCCATCCACATGAAGGCATGAATTCATCCATCCACATGAAGGCATGAATTCATCCATCCACATGAAGGCATGAATTCATCCATCCACATGAAGGCATGAATTCATCCATCCACATGAAGGCATGAATTCATCCATCCACATGAAGGCATGAATTCATCCATCCACATGAAGGCATGAATTCATCCATCCACATGAAGGCATGAATTCATCCATCCACATGAAGGCATGAATTCATCCATCCACATGAAGGCATGAATTCATCCATCCACATGAAGGCATGAATTCATCCATCCACATGAAGGCATGAATTCATCCATCCACATGAAGGCATGAATTCATCCATCCACATGAAGGCATGAATTCATCCATCCACATGAAGGCATGAATTCATCCATCCACATGAAGGCATGAATTCATCCATCCACATGAAGGCATGAATTCATCCATCCACATGAAGGCATGAATTCATCCATCCACATGAAGGCATGAATTCATCCATCCACATGAAGGCATGAATTCATCCATCCACATGAAGGCATGAATTCATCCATCCACATGAAGGCATGAATTCATCCATCCACATGAAGGCATGAATTCATCCATCCACATGAAGGCATGAATTCATCCATCCACATGAAGGCATGAATTCATCCATCCACATGAAGGCATGAATTCATCCATCCACATGAAGGCATGAATTCATCCATCCACATGAAGGCATGAATTCATCCATCCACATGAAGGCATGAATTCATCCATCCACATGAAGGCATGAATTCATCCATCCACATGAAGGCATGAATTCATCCATCCACATGAAGGCATGAATTCATCCATCCACATGAAGGCATGAATTCATCCATCCACATGAAGGCATGAATTCATCCATCCACATGAAGGCATGAATTCATCCATCCACATGAAGGCATGAATTCATCCATCCACATGAAGGCATGAATTCATCCATCCACATGAAGGCATGAATTCATCCATCCACATGAAGGCATGAATTCATCCATCCACATGAAGGCATGAATTCATCCATCCACATGAAGGCATGAATTCATCCATCCACATGAAGGCATGAATTCATCCATCCACATGAAGGCATGAATTCATCCATCCACATGAAGGCATGAATTCATCCATCCACATGAAGGCATGAATTCATCCATCCACATGAAGGCATGAATTCATCCATCCACATGAAGGCATGAATTCATCCATCCACATGAAGGCATGAATTCATCCATCCACATGAAGGCATGAATTCATCCATCCACATGAAGGCATGAATTCATCCATCCACATGAAGGCATGAATTCATCCATCCACATGAAGGCATGAATTCATCCATCCACATGAAGGCATGAATTCATCCATCCACATGAAGGCATGAATTCATCCATCCACATGAAGGCATGAATTCATCCATCCACATGAAGGCATGAATTCATCCATCCACATGAAGGCATGAATTCATCCATCCACATGAAGGCATGAATTCATCCATCCACATGAAGGCATGAATTCATCCATCCACATGAAGGCATGAATTCATCCATCCACATGAAGGCATGAATTCATCCATCCACATGAAGGCATGAATTCATCCATCCACATGAAGGCATGAATTCATCCATCCACATGAAGGCATGAATTCATCCATCCACATGAAGGCATGAATTCATCCATCCACATGAAGGCATGAATTCATCCATCCACATGAAGGCATGAATTCATCCATCCACATGAAGGCATGAATTCATCCATCCACATGAAGGCATGAATTCATCCATCCACATGAAGGCATGAATTCATCCATCCACATGAAGGCATGAATTCATCCATCCACATGAAGGCATGAATTCATCCATCCACATGAAGGCATGAATTCATCCATCCACATGAAGGCATGAATTCATCCATCCACATGAAGGCATGAATTCATCCATCCACATGAAGGCATGAATTCATCCATCCACATGAAGGCATGAATTCATCCATCCACATGAAGGCATGAATTCATCCATCCACATGAAGGCATGAATTCATCCATCCACATGAAGGCATGAATTCATCCATCCACATGAAGGCATGAATTCATCCATCCACATGAAGGCATGAATTCATCCATCCACATGAAGGCATGAATTCATCCATCCACATGAAGGCATGAATTCATCCATCCACATGAAGGCATGAATTCATCCATCCACATGAAGGCATGAATTCATCCATCCACATGAAGGCATGAATTCATCCATCCACATGAAGGCATGAATTCATCCATCCACATGAAGGCATGAATTCATCCATCCACATGAAGGCATGAATTCATCCATCCACATGAAGGCATGAATTCATCCATCCACATGAAGGCATGAATTCATCCATCCACATGAAGGCATGAATTCATCCATCCACATGAAGGCATGAATTCATCCATCCACATGAAGGCATGAATTCATCCATCCACATGAAGGCATGAATTCATCCATCCACATGAAGGCATGAATTCATCCATCCACATGAAGGCATGAATTCATCCATCCACATGAAGGCATGAATTCATCCATCCACATGAAGGCATGAATTCATCCATCCACATGAAGGCATACAAGACTATTAATGGCATGTTGGTTGATACAACGGGATGGGAAAAGTATGTAAAGAGGCAATATATAGAGAAACGATGCATGCATGGCAGCAAGTAAAAGGAGCAGCGCACCATTGAATTGGTCACAGCAGCAGCGTGCATCCAACCACAAGTGACTATAGATGGCAGGTTGGTACGATACGATGGAGATAATATTTACACCCTAGAATATAATGTGCAGTGCACCTTTGATCTGGTCACAGCACATCTCAGCATGCTTTGGAACAGCAGATGGGGTGAGAAGCATGGGGAGGGCCACACAGCAATGATGAAAGGGAGTTGATGGCTGAGAGCGCAGTGCAGGCAGGGAACATGCCAGTGCGGTGCAGGCTTGGCCCATGAGAGTGCGGTGCAGGCTTGGCCCATGAGAGTGCGGTGCAGCCCTGGCCCGGCACATACAACAGTGATTCTAGTGAGCTTCGTACAGAGAGGTGAGGCCATCAAGGAAGGCGAAGTTGGTGAACATGGGGCCACTCAGGGCATTGGATGAGAGATCCCTGTGCATTGTGTTGTGTGGGTTGAACGGAATTGAAGAAATTTGAATAGCAGGCATGGCAGGACAGTTAGGAAGCACATGCAAGCGGGCAAAGGAAATGTGACGAGTCTTGTTGGGGAGCAAAGGTGAGGAGAGGGAACAGCATTGGACTGAGAACAAGGGGAAGAAAGCATTAGTAAATGAAAGGAGGGAGGGTGGAGGGCAAGAAAGGGAAATTGAAATAGCTGTTAAAAGGTGGGGCTATGTCAACGGAGCATGGAGGTTGAGAGGAGGATCAATCTGGAAATGGGCATGGCATGCGGATGGATGGCCGCACAGCACACAAGTCGTGAGTTTTAAGATTGTATAAACATGGCAACGGAGTGATACTAATGATGTACAGCCACTTAGTCAGTTCTCCCAGTGCTGTCAACAAGCCAATGGTAGTAGCTGGGATAGCCTAGTACTGGAATCATGGTACTTACAGGTAGATATGAGCACAAACCGAACTCAAACATGTTTGTGCAAACCTTTTCGAACCTTGCATGTTGCTCGAACCGAACCGAACAGGTTTGCTCAAACTTTTTTCAAAACTTTAAGGTTTGACGTTTGAGAATACAATGGCGAACCCTAAAGGTTTGCTCAAACCTTTAAGGTTTGAGCGAACTCAAACCTTAGCAGGTTTGAGGTTTAAAATGATGCACATGTTATTATTCTACAACACATGCATGTCTAATGGTTTAAGAAACCCTTAATCTCTGGAAATTGAAGAAGGCGCACTGATCTGTCTTATGTAATTGACGGAATGCTTGAAAGGATCTAGAAAAATCATGGTTGTGTGCTTAGAGCCTAGAGTAGGAGTAGATCTAGATCTAGTCCACTAACTCAGCGAGACTAGGGTTGGCTGCCATGAAATGGCAGCCAACACTAGGACTTTCCCGATTTTGACAGGAAAGTCGCAAGTGTTTCCGTGGCGCGGGAGGAGGTTATCTCGAACCCCTTTCGGTTCGAAATAACAAGATTCGAACCTCGAACCTGTTTGGTTCGAGGTTCTTATCTCGAACCCAAAATGTTCGCACGAACAGTTCGCGCGAACTTCAGAGAAGTTTGCGCGAACGTTTTTCACGAAAAAAAAAGTTCGGTTCGAGCTATCTCGAACCGAAGTTCGGTTCGATGCTCATATCTACTTACAGGTTAACCAGGTTGATCAAGCGGCTGAGAGATGATGGAATAGATCCATTCAGGCGATTTCCTTGTATACGCCTGTCGACCATGAAAAGGAGGCCATGCAAGATGAAGGAGAGGGAGATGACGGGGGGAAGAGCAAGGCGACCTGGCAGGCGATTTGCTTCAGTGAAGCGAGAAAGGAGTGTTTTTGAAAACATCTCAAAAACACTCTAATTTCAATGCTACAACTGAGTGGAAGCAATCATCGATTGCATCAGATCCAAGGTTACAGAGAATGTCACAAGGGGGGTTACAGAGAATGTCACAAGGGGAGAATGCCCGCGACGCAAGTAGCCGTTCACGGTATGAATGGAAACAAGATGGGTGGGGTTTGGGTTCAAAGTTTGACCTCGAACCTTCTACCTGGAGTCAAATTGGCAGTGGATAAACGACTACATGTAAAACAAGCAGCTCATAATATTTTTTTGGCTTGCCGTGGCTCAGCACTCATAGTCAAAATGAACTGAATGGTCAAACCCAACATGTATAGGTTTGAGTCGAACCCTTTTTGAGAAAAAAACTAAATGCAGCTCGGGACATTGCACAAACCTACCTGTGAGTGTGTGCTCTGGGTTATGGAACAAGTTGGAGATGAGAATAGTGGTCATGGATGGAAGGACAGCAGGCACACATGATCGAACCGATTGAGGGATGAGATGAGACCGTCATGGTCGAAGGCAGCATGGTTGGAGGCAAACAGCTTCATGTTCGACTCTAATTGGCGAACAGCTTCATGTTCGACTCTAATTGGCAAACCCGGTCCCGAACCATTTCAAGTCGCACCCCCAGTTCGTCGAGTTTTCGGCTCTTGTCGAGTCCGGCCGGGCCTGTGATGGCTGGCTTGACTGCCAACTGTGTGACCATCTACGTTTTAATTACCTTGAAATCCTAATTGTGTTGCTTGCGTGTGGCATCTACGTTATGTGAGTGAGGATTCTCTCTCATGGGTTATAGAGTTGATATACTCTTTGATAATGTTTAGGTTGATACGAGGTGCTTCATACAGATTAATGAGCTGTGGAAGCATGGAGGTGCCGTTGGGAATGGGACCCGTCAAGTTGTTGTTTGAAAGAGACCTGTGTGTGCGTGACGTGGGTTGGGGTGGAGGAAGTGAGGAGATGAGAATAGTGGGTATGCACTGAGGGACAGCAAGAACACACGGTCTACCCAGTTAGAGGATCAAACGAGCATGGGAGGAGGCAGGTATGAGTAGAAACCTAATCGCAGCTCTGTTCTGCTCTGTTCGAACCGGTTCATGTTCGACTCGAATTAGCCGAACTGGTTCAATCAAGTCACACACCCAGTTCTACGCGTTTGGGTGGTTGGACCTCGTGCTGGGAGGAAGAGGGCCAGGAGAAGGAGTTGTGTTGTGGGATATTCATCCTTGGCTTGGCTTCCAGATTTCTCGTCATGCACAGGTATGAATTTTACAACTTAGACATTCTTTTTTTCTTGCTTGTGCCTATCAAAGTTATGCGACCTAGGTTGTACTCTCGAGGGTTTTAGGGTTCATGCCATCTTCTATCATGTTCGGGCCAGGCTGAAACGAGGTGGTTCATACAGAAAGGTGACCTGAGAAAGCTTGGAGATGCTGTTGGGAATGGAACCATTCAATTTGTTGTTTGTAAGAGACCTGTGTGCGTGTGATATGGGTTGGGGTGAGGAAGTGAGAATATGAGATTAGTGAGAATGGGCATTGACTGCAGGATGCGATGATATGAACGGACTTCTAAGTAATGGAGCTGAAATTCCTACACAGCCCACTTCAGGTGTCACCATCGTGCGTGCTTAGCTCCAGCCTTAAACGAGGTGCCTCATACAGATAGGTGAGCTGAGGAAGCGTGAATATGTCACTGGGAATGGAGCCCGTCAATCTGTTGTTTGAAAGAGTCCTGTGCGTGCGTGGCATGGGTTGGAGCGGAGCAAGTGATAATATGAGAATAGAGGCATGGTCTGAGCGACAGCAAGAACACACGGTCGACCCATTTGGGGGGTGACACGAGCATGCTGGGAGACAAACATGTTGAGTGCAATACATGGTTTGCACGACAACCTACCGCCTATTTGTCGACGTTGAGTGAAAGTGAGGTGTTTGTTCTGAAGGTAATTTGTTGTGTGAGAGTTGCGCTTTTTCGTGAGCTGCGTTTCTGTGTTTACGGCTCGTGAATCGCCTCAACGGTTCATGAGTTATGTGAGTTTTCGTGAAAGGTTGCGTTTCTGAGTGTTCGCGAATGTCCGTGTGTGAATGTGAGACTTCGTGTGCGTTCGCGTTGCTTTGTGAGTTCTCATAAGTGTGCGTTGATTTTATGTTCGTGAATTTCTGTGTTTGTGATAGTGTTTGTGAAATTCCGTGAAGTCTGTGCGTTGTTCATGAATGTTTGTGAGCGTTCATGTTAGTTTTCGTTTTTCTGTTTTCGTTTGTGTTCGTGAAGAGTCGCGAGTGTTCGCGAGATAGTTTTGTGGTGGTCAAGGTCAAGGGCGCCAGAATCTTGACCGCGCGTGTGGTCTAGATTTTTGTGCGTGGGCCCTCAGGGCCCGAGCGTGTGGCTCGCAACTGTTGCGAGCGTGTGGCTCGGTACTGTTGCGCGAGGGCACAAGTTCCATGATCGCAACAGACAGCGCACGTCAGTGCACTGTAGAGCACGACCGAAAATATCGGTCATGCTATGATTGCGCCGGCAAGGGCGCGCGTGTGTTTCGGGGGGTGCTGCGGGATTCCGAGGGGTGCTCGGGTTTGTCTCGGGTTTGACTCGAGATTTCAGTTAAACAACTGAATCTCGAGCCTCGTCTTTTAATGTACGTGGCACACAGAAATTTCGCGGGAAAGCACCGCGCGTAAAGGGACAATTTCGGTACAGGGGAAAAACGGTGAAATCCGTTTTTCAACTGTAAACGTTCGTGAAAACGGTAATCCCACACGAGTCTTCATAATTAGTCATCCGAATTCGTGAACGTTCGTGAGAGGAGTCAGCAGGGGCGTTTGGCAGATATGAACTTTGAAGACAGTTATTCTACAGAGGCGAATCAAGCCAAAATCGACGGGGGTTTGACAACCGTTTTCAAGGACAAGCTGGCGAAGTCCTGAAGTCTAGTTAAACAACTGCTTTGTGCTTTCTTATGCTCTTGTGTTGGGCGAAATATAAATGCGTGCCTGTGTTCAATTGTAATCAATCTTTTTGAGTGGAGTTTTTCTCTATCATCATATTGACGTGAAGAGAACTTTCTGCACACGACCAGTTCGTCGTCACAACGCTGCGCCAGGAGTTTTGGGAATGCTCTAATGCACGCGATTGTTTTCATACTTAGCGTGTCCCTCGACATAACACGGACCCTTGGATAGGGGCTGGCCTTGCCAGGCACCCAAGGACCCTTGGAGGTGACCCCGTGGGGACTGTTAAGTGTGAATTAAAGGTGTGCTTAGTAGCCTCTAGATCCCAATAGTGTCAACAAAACATGAGTGAGAGAAAGAGAGAGGGGTTAGACCTCTGCTCTCTGCCTTAGCCCTCTGCCCTCCTTGCTCTGCCCCGGGTATACGTGCCGTGAGTCCTTATGCATTAGGTAATGAGCTCAATGAAAATACATCGAAATATGGGCAGCAGATGGATGGGTAGGGAATCGGGGGGCAGTCCTAATAACATCGACTAAAATCTCAAATTGGTGGGTTGGAGGATCTCAGTTGATAACATTTGGGTTAGGTTGGGATGTGGGTGTACACCCTACCCACACAAGCTACAAACTACACCAAAGAATGATATAAAAAGTACACCGCACACATGATGCATTTTACAAAAAACCATCACATATTACTGCCCTTCCTTTTATAAACGAAGGACCATTCGACATGAGTGAAAACTAAATCGCAGTTTGGTTGGAGGCGAATGGGTTCATGTTCGACTCTAGTTGCCCAAACCGGTTCGAGTCACACACACAGTTCGACAAATTTGTGGTTCTCATACGGTAGTTGAACCTGGCTGGGAACTGGAGGGCCAGGAAGAGGTTCAGCCTTGGTTGGCTGCCCATTGCATGGCTATATACAGTTTAATTAACCGAAACTCCGGTTTCTTGCTTGCTTGTGGCATCTAAGCCTTTTCTCTCGCGGGTTTTGAACTTCAGGTGATCATAAAACATGCATCTTAGCATCAAGCTTAGACGAGGTGCTTCTTACAGATAAGAGAGCCGAGTAAGCCTGCCGATGACAGTGGGAATGGAGCCTGTCAAACCGTTGTATGAAAGAGACCTGTGTGTGCACGGTAAAGGTTGGTTTGGAATGATTGATGAGATGAACTTCGGTACAGCAACCACACATGCTCGACCCAATTGGGGGATGAGACGGCAATGGTGGGAGGTGGCACGATCAAGAGGCAGCTACAACTAGTTTGTTGCGAACTTACTCAAATGTTTTGTACTACCTGAACTGAACGAGCTCGGATGTTGTCGAATAGAGTCTTGCAGAAGTAGGGTTCGAGTGTTCGACTGTACAGTTTACCATTATTGTGTTTGGTTCGAGCACATAGTGTTTTTTTACCCAAACCAATACGTGTTCGAGTTTGAGTGACCATTCGTCGTAGGTAAATTGGATTTCGGCCGTAGGAAACGACACTATCGAAAATGGTTGTAATTAGCTCTTTCTTGCATGTTGCCCCTCATGTCCATGATTGAAAACACCTTCAATTTGGTGCCCGAAGTTTTATAACAAAGAAATGAACGTTTTTTTTTTTTTTTTTTTTTTTTTTTTTGGCACTAAAATGCGAGTGTGAAAGGACCGTATTGTACAAAAACTGTATTTTTTGCCTTGGGAAAGCACCAGTAAAGAATGTATCGCGGTTCTGTTTGGGGCAAACGGTTTCATGTGCGACTCAAATTGCTCGGAACTCTTTCGACTCGCAGCTTGACGGATTTGTGGTTCTCGCCAAATCCGGGCTGGGATGGGAGGGGGAGGGCCAAAAAAAAAAAAAAGGAATTGTGGGATGTTATGATTACCCAAAACTCTTTCCTTTCTTGATTGCATGTCGCATCTAGGTTATACGACCAAGGATATTCTCTCGCGTGATTTTCAGGTCATGTGTTTTTTTACCATGCATACTTAGCAGGCACCAGGCTCAATGGAGGAGATTCTTACAGATAAGTGAGATCATCAAGCCAGCGAATGGTACTGGGAATGGATCCAGTCAAAGCGGTGTTTGAAAGAGACCTGTGTGTGCGTGTGCGTGTGTGGGCGTGCGCGTGCGCGTGTGTGCGTGCGCGCGTGCGTGCGTGCGTGCGTGCGTGCGTGCGTGCATGCGTGCGTGCGTGCGTGCGTGCGTGCATGTGTGTGTTATGGGTTGGGGCAGAACAAGTAAGGAGATGAGATTAGAGTGCATGAACCGAATGACAGCAAGCACACACGGTCAACCCAATTGGCAGATGACACGAGCACGGTGGGAGGTAGGCTATAGTAAAAAACGAATCGCAGTTCGGTTCATGGTGCAAGTCGCACCACCAGTTCGACGAATCTGTGGTCCTCGTCGAACGTGGGCTGGGAGGGGGGGGCAGGAAGAGGAGTTGCGGGATATTCAGCCTACCTTGGCTGCCATTGGTGTGCCATATACGTTTTGATTAATAATAATAAGAAAAAAAAAAACACAAAAAACAACGTTTTCTTGCTTGCTTGTAGCATCTAAGGATTTTCTCTTGCAGGTTCTGCAGTTCATGTGATTTTTTTATCATGCATACTCAGCATCAGGCTTGAACGAGATGCTTCATACAGATAAAAGAGCTGAGGAAGCCCGTAGATGCTATTGTGCAAGCAAGAATGTCCCAGTGGATAGATTTTCACCTTTGGTCTTAGAGGTCGTGGGTTCAACTCTCAGAAGCTGCATTCTCCCTTCTCATTATGCCCAACATGACATTCCCACACTCCACCACACTCACCCACAGTGAAGTGTGGTCACAGTTGGCTTTGCCATCTGTCCACTCATCCCATACTCACCTTGCTGGCCCCTATGGTATGCCACATGCTGCCATGTAGGCTATTGTTCCAGCCTGGGCCAAATGTGCAACATGTGGCCTCAATTGCTAGCTTGGCAAGGTTGGCTAGCCTTGCCCTCAGCTTTGAGGTGCTGCAGCTAGCCTCAAGAGTTCAGCCACATATATGTGGCTTCCCACTTCTCTAGAACTCATCCTTGGTTAAGGACATTGCTCTAGCCTCTCAGGCTTGTACCATCTTCCTACTAAGGATATATTGTTCTTGTCTCATTGTGCCTTAAGTTCACCGATCCTCATTCTACAGATGTCACTGGGAATGGAGCCCATCAAAGCGTTGAGCGAGGTGCATCAGGCTTCAACTGGGTACTTCATTTCATACAGATAAAAGAGCTGAGGAAGCCCGTAGATGTTACTGGGAATGGATCCCATTAAACTGCTGTATGAAAGAGACCTGTGTGTGCACAGTGAAGGGGGGGCGGAAAAGGTGAGCAAGTGAGAATCGAGGGCATGGACTAAGGGACACAAAGCACACAGGGTTGACTCAGGTACAATTGGGGGATGAGTCGAGCATGGTGAGAAGTAGAAGGAGCAAAAGGTAAAATCAAAACTAGCTGGTCTTGAACTAACTCGACTGTTTGTATTACCTGGACTTTACCTGTTCAGTTTGAGTCAAAATAATTGTTGCAAAAGTAGGTTTTGAGTATTGGACTGCACAATTAGACACTACTGACTTTGGTTCAAACGTACTTGACCCGACCGAACCCAAATGTGTTCAGGTTTGAGTGACTATTTGTCATAGTAGGTACATTCAACTTCACACATCCCTTGCTTTCCACTCACATCCGATTTCGCAAAACTCGTCCCTCCTCCTCGAGATCAAATCCGCGCAACCTTCGAACATAACATCCCGTGCTCACATCACCTTCCCCTTTCAATCCCCAGCTAAGCAGGCAGTCAATCAACTGTTCAATTCGCCAAGCATGTGTTCGTATTCGGTCGAACATGTTGGTGTTCGCCATTGGCTGCGACGAACACAAATGTGTTCGATCAAAAGAGCTAGGTTGATGGGACAATTTGATCATGCTCGTTTTTTAGCTTGATTGAATTTAGTCAGTTTTCCTTCCTAGAGCCTAGTCTACCAGCAGCAGTGTTTAGCATATTGTTAAACAGGGTTGTACACACCACACATACTCCTAATTTTACCTAGTTTGAGGATGTCGCCGAAAACAGCCTAGAGTGGTCCAGGGAAGGTTCCAGTGGAAACCACAAGATTACCATTGTAGGGCCAGCCCACACTCAAGACATCATCCCTTACTTCATTATTCAAGCAACTCACAAATCCCGGTCTTGTTTGCGACCCTCTCCGGCTATCTCTCACAGGTTTGCCTAGAACATTAGCGAATATGGGTTTAGGAAGTCTAAGATATGTCGTCCCTGTTAGAAACTTGGGTGTTGATATATTGAGAAAGAAGAACAGTACAAATAGGGCATGAGGTGAGTGACCAAAGTTAGGTTTACCCCGATAATTAAGGGCTGACCATTTTTGGGGGGTCCAGCCCATCAATTGAGGTGTTTACCATACATGCTTAGCACCAGGCTCAAAGGAGGAGCTTCCTACAGATAAGAGAGCTGAGAAAGCCAGTAAATGTCACTGGGAATGGATCCCGTCAGACCGGTGTTTGAAAGAGACCTGTGTGTGCGTGGTATGGGGTTGGGACGGACTAAGTGAGGAGATTGGAGGGCATGGAACCGAATGATAGCAAGCAAGCACACACGGGACCTAAATTGGCAGATGAGATGAGCATGGTGGGGGAGATACGCATCATACCAGATTGGCATGATGAGTAAGAAACGAATCATGGTTCGGTTAGGGGGAAATGGTTCAAGCCGCACACCCAGTTTGACGAATCTGTGGTTCTCGTCAAACCTTGCGGGATATGCTGCGCTGCAATATACGTTTTTATTACTCGGAACCCCTTGCTTCCTTCCTTGCGTGTGGCATCTAGGCTTTGTGGCAAAGAATATTCTCTCAATGTTTTCTGGATTTAAGATTATATATGAATGTCTACTTATAATTAAGAGCCTTGATCTTCCATGTGTAGCGCCAGGCTGAAACAAGGGGCTTCATACAGATAATTGAGCCGAGATAGCACAGAGATGCTGTTGGGAATGGAGCCCGTCACATTGTTGTTTGCAAGAGACCTGTGTGTGTGGTATGGTATGGGTTGGGGCGGAAGTGAAAAGATGTGAATAGTGGGTGGGGAGCAAGCAGAAAATGTCAACCCAATTGGGAGATGACACGAGCATGGTGGGCGGCATGAGCAATAAGCGAACTCAAACTAGTTTGTCTCGAACTCTCCCAAACATTTGTATTACCCAAATGGAACACGTTCACTCTTCCCGGAGATTAATTCCACGCAACATTCTAACCTAACTCTCCTTCCTCACTTCACCTTCCCTCTCAATCGCCACATACCCTCATGATTCCGACTTTTGGCACCTACCCAAAAGCTGTCCTTCCCTACGTTTTCTTAAGTTTCTAGTGATCTAAACCGGATTTTACTCCAAATGCTTGCATACAGCGTGATAAGCGTGTGGATTATCGCGCTAGCTGCTAGCATACAGCGTGATAAGCGTGTGGATTATCACGCTAGCAGCTAGCATACAGCATGATAAGCGTGTGGATTATCACGCTAGCTGCTAGCATACAGCGTGATAGGCGTGTGGATTATCACGCTAGCTGCTAGCATACAGCGTGATAAGCGTGTGGATTATCACGCTAGCTGCTAGCATACAGCGTGATAAGCGTGTGGGTTATCGCGCTAGCTGCTAGCATACAGTGTGATAAGCGTGTGGATTATCACTCTAGCTGCTAGCATACAGCGTGATAAGCGTGTGGCTTATCACGCTAGCTGCTAGCGTACAGCGTGATAAGCGTGTGGATTATCACGCTAGCTGCTAGCATACAGCGTGATAAGCGTGTGAAATATCACGCTAGCTGCTAGCATACAGCGGGATAAGCGTGTGGATTATCACGCTAGCTGCTAGCATACAGCGTGATAAGCGTGTGGCTTATCACGCTAGCTGCTAGCATAGAGCGTGGTAAGCGTGTGGCTTATCACGCTAGCATACGGTAAAGCGTGTGGCTGACCATCTTGGACCAAGCATGCAAACATCCGAACCTGGTTGGAACCGTGCTAAACCTTGCTCATGGGTTTGATGCTCATCCCTTCCTGACATGTTTGATGGGTGTTGACATGTTTGATGGGTGTTGACATGTTTGATGGGTGTTGACATGTTTGATGGGTGTTGACATGTTTGATGGGTGTTGACATGTTTGATGGGTGTCGACATGTTTGATGGGTGTCGAAATGTTTGATGGGTGTTGACATGTTTGATGGGTGTTGACATGTTTGATGGGTGTTGACATGTTTGATGGGTGTTGACATGTTTGATGGGTGTTGACATGTTTGATGGGTGTTGACATGTTTGATGGGTGTTGACATGTTTGATGGGTGTTGACATGTTTGATGGGTGTTGACATGTTTGATGGGTGTTGACATGTTTGATGGGTGTCGACATGTTTGATGGGTGTCGAAATGTTTGATGGGTGTTGACATGTTTGATGGGTGTTGACATGTTTGATGGGTGTTGACATGTTTGATGGGTGTTGACATGTTTGATGGGTGTTGACATGTTTGATGGGTGTTGACCTGTTTGATGGGTGTTGACATGTTTGATGGGTGTTGACATGTTTGATGGGTGTTGACATGTTTGATGGGTGTCGACATGTTTGATGGGTGTTGACATGTTTGATGGGTGTCGACATGTTTGATGGGTGTTGACATGTTTGATGGGTGTTGACATGTTTGATGGGTGTTGACATGTTTGATGGGTGTTGACATGTTTGATGGGTGTTGACATGTTTGATGGGTGTTGACATGTTTGATGGGTGTTGACATGTTTGATGGGTGTTGACATGTTTGATGGGTGTTGACATGTTTGATGGGTGTTGACATGTTTGATGGGTGTTGACATGTTTGATGGGTGTTGACATGTTTGATGGGTGTTGACATGTTTGATGGGTGTTGACATGTTTGATGGGTGTTGACATGTTTGATGGGTGTTGACATGTTTGATGGGTGTCGACATGTTTGATGGGTGTCGAAATGTTTGATGGGTGTTGACATGTTTGATGGGTGTTGACATGTTTGATGGGTGTTGACATGTTTGATGGGTGTTGACATGTTTGATGGGTGTTGACATGTTTGATGGGTGTTGACCTGTTTGATGGGTGTTGACATGTTTGATGGGTGTTGACATGTTTGATGGGTGTTGACATGTTTGATGGGTGTCGACATGTTTGATGGGTGTTGACATGTTTGATGGGTGTCGACATGTTTGATGGGTGTTGACATGTTTGATGGGTGTTGACATGTTTGATGGGTGTTGACATGTTTGATGGGTGTTGACATGTTTGATGGGTGTTGACATGTTTGATGGGTGTTGACATGTTTGATGGGTGTTGACATGTTTGATGGGTGTTGACATGTTTGATGGGTGTTGACATGTTTGATGGGTGTTGACATGTTTGATGGGTGTTGACATGTTTGATGGGTGTTGACATGTTTGATGGGTGTTGACATGTTTGATGGGTGTTGACATGTTTGATGGGTGTTGACATGTTTGATGGGTGTTGACATGTTTGATGGGTGTTGACATGTTTGATGGGTGTTGACATGTTTGATGGGTGTTGACATGTTTGATGGGTGTTGACATGTTTGATGGGTGTTGACATGTTTGATGGGTGTTGACATGTTTGATGGGTGTTGACATGTTTGATGGGTGTTGACATGTTTGATGGGTGTTGACATGTTTGATGGGTGTTGACATGTTTGATGGGTGTTGACATGTTTGATGGGTGTTGACATGTTTGATGGGTGTTGACATGTTTGATGGGTGTTGACATGTTTGATGGGTGTTGACATGTTTGATGGGTGTCGACATGTTTGATGGGTGTTGACATGTTTGATGGGTGTCGACATGTTTGATGGGTGTTGACATGTTTGATGGGTGTTGACATGTTTGATGGGTGTCGACATGTTTGATGGGTGTCGACATGTTTGATGGGTGTCGACATGTTTGATGGGTGTCGACATGTTTGATGGGTGTCGACATCTTTGATGGGTGTTGACATGTTTGATGGGTGTTGACATGTTTGATGGGTGTTGACATGTTTGATGGGTGTTGACATGTTTGATGGGTGTTGACATGTTTGATGGGTGTCGACATGTTTGATGGGTGTTGACATGTTTGATGGGTGTCGACATGTTTGATGTGATGTGCACAACGAGGTGCGTCGTACAGATAAACCCTCAACCCTCGACCCTATAACTGAATAGAAGCAATCCTCATAGTAGCAGGGGTCACAGAAAATATGCGTTGGGGCTGAGGCCCGGAATGCAAGCAGCACTCTAAACCAGACGATACGAAGGGACTTCTAAGTGATGGAGTTGAAGAAACCACTACAAAGCCCACTCTAGGTGTGACCATCGTGTGTGCTTAGCTCCAGCCTTAAACGAGGAGCGCCATACAGATACGCGAGCTGACGGATTGTGAATATCTTGCTCGGAGTGGAGCCCGTCAATCCGTCAAGGCGTCACCAATCCATCGTCATGCGTGCCTAATCCCATTCTTAAACTAGGTGCGCCATACAGATACGCGAGCTGACGGAGTGTGAATATCTTGCTCGGAATGGAGCCCGTCAATCGGTTGTTTGAAAGAGACCTGTGTGTGTGTGGTATGGGTTGGGGTCGAATAAATGAGGAGATGAGAATAGTGGGGGCATCGACTGAACATGAACTAGGCTTGGGCATCTGACGCGGACGGATCGGGTAAACCTACCTGCCCTGTCAATAGGCCGGGTCAGGTCTGAACGGTGGCTGCATCTGGCCCGACCGGGCCAGGTCGGGTTTATCCGGAAGGGTGGGGTCGACCCGCTACTCGTGGGGTCCCCGGACCCGGACCCGCGGTTTACCCGGACCCGCTACCCGTAAGGTCCCCTTTCATGCGGGTATAGGCGACCCTTTGGGTCGGGTCTGAACGGTTTACCCGGACCCGCTACCCGTAAGGTCCCCTTTCATGCGGGTATAGGCGACCCTTTGGGTCGGGTCTGAACGGTTTACCCGGACCCGCTACCCGTAAGGTCCCCTTTCATGCGGGTATAGGCGACCCTTTGGGTCGGGTCTGAACGGTTTACCCGGACCCGCTACCCGTAAGGTCCCCTTTCATGCGGGTATAGGCGACCCTTTGGGTCGGGTCTGAACGGTTTACCCGGACCCGCTACCCGTAAGGTCCCCTTTCATGCGGGTATAGGCGACCCTTTGGGTCGGGTCTGAACGGTTTACCCGGACCCGCTACCCGTAAGGTCCCCTTTCATGCGGGTATAGGCGACCCTTTGGGTCGGGTCTGAACGGTTTACCCGGACCCGCTACCCGTAAGGTCCCCTTTCATGCGGGTATAGGCGACCCTTTGGGTCGGGTCTGAACGGTTTACCCGGACCCGCTACCCGTAAGGTCCCCTTTCGTGCGGGTATAGGCGACCCTTTGGGTCGGGTCTGAACGGTTTACCCGGACCCGCTACCCGTAAGGTCCCCTTTCGTGCGGGTATAGGCGACCCTTTGGGTCGGGTCTGAACGGTTTACCCGGACCCGCTACCCGTAAGGTCCCCTTTCGTGCGGGTATAGGCGACCCTTTGGGTCGGGTCTGAACGGTTTACCCGGACCCGCTACCCGTAAGGTCCCCTTTCATGCGGGTATAGGCGACCCTTTGGGTCGGGTCTGAACGGTTTACCCGGACCCGCTACCCGTAAGGTCCCCTTTCATGCGGGTATAGGCGACCCTTTGGGTCGGGTCTGAACGGTTTACCCGGACCCGCTACCCGTAAGGTCCCCTTTCATGCGGGTATAGGCGACCCTTTGGGTCGGGTCTGAACGGTTTACCCGGACCCGCTACCCGTAAGGTCCCCTTTCGTGCGGGTATAGACGACCCTTTGGGTCGGGTCTGAACGGTTTACCCGGACCCGCTACCCGTAAGGTCCCCTTTCGTGCGGGTATAGGCGACCCTTTGGGTCGGGTCTGAACGGTTTACCCGGACCCGCTACCCGTAAGGTCCCCTTTCATGCGGGTATAGGCGACCCTTTACGTCGGGTCGACCCGCTACTCGTGGAGTCCCCTTTCGTGCGGGTATAGGCGACCCTTTGGGTGTTTTGAGGCGTCTCAAAACACGTATAGGCGACCCTTTGCGTCGGGTCTGAACGGTGGCTGCATCTGGCCTAACTGGTCAAGTCGGGTCTACCAGGACGGGTCGAGTCGGATCGACCCGTTGCCCATGGGGGCAACGGCAATTCGTCGGGTTCAGGTCGGTCAAACCCGACCCGGTTACAGGTACTGCTTCGCCCCTTTTGAGTCGACTAGGTGACTTTTGAATCGACTCAAAAGTCAATCAGAAGTCAATTCGTCAGGTTCAGGTCGGTCATACCCGACCCACCCGGTTACAGGTACTGCTTCGCCCCATGTCTGGGGTTGCTTTGCCTCTTTTTGAGTCGACTCAAAATTCAATCCATCGGGTTCAGGTCGGTCATACCCGACCCACCCGGTTACAGGTTATGCTTCGCCCCTTGCCTAAGGTTGCATTTACCCTCGAAAATGTCGACCGGCCTGCCAGTCTAGCCTAGATCGAGTACCGTTTTCTTGTGTGGACTTGCCTTTCTAGCAGCACGTTTCACAGAACCTCACCTTGTTAGCCACGAAATTAGTCTACAGACGTCCATAAACTAAGAGGCTAGACATCATGGCATCGAAAGCCGGGGCACGTGCCACCCGGTCTGCGCGACACTGGTTGTGATCTTTGACATGCATGCTTAGCAGCAGGCTCAAACGAGGAGATTCATACAGATAAGAGAGCTGTTGAAGCGAGTAAATGCCCCTGGGAATGGATCCTGTAAAAGAGTTGTTTGACAGATCCCTGTGTGTGCGTGGCATGGGGTGGGGCAGAATAAGTGATGAAATGAGAATAGAGGGCATGATCTGATCTGAGCGACAGCAAGCACACACGGTCGACGGTCGACCCAAGTGGGGGGATGAGACGAGACGAGCATGCTGGGAGCCAAGCATGACCAAAACCGAGTTGCAGTACGGTTCAAGGCAAATGGTTCAGGTAGCTCCGTCGCACGCCCAGCTTGAAATTTGTGGTTCTAGTAGAACCCGGGCCTGGGCTGGGAGGGGAGGAGGTGACTTCTGAGTCGACTCAAAGTCACCCATTTTGGATTGAAATTTGTGGTTCTAGTAGAACACGCGCCTGGGCTGGGAGGGGAGGAGCCAGGAAGAGGAGCTGCGGGATAATCAGCCTGGCATGGCTTGGCTGCCAATTGCAAGGCAGATGGATGGTTCAAGGTGCACGGTCGCACGCCCATTTTGGATTGAAATCTGTGGTTCTCGTTGAACCCCTGGGCTAGGAGGGGGGGAGCCAGGAAGCGGAGCTGCGCGATATTCAGCCTAGCTTGGCTGCCAATGGTGTGGGCCATATACGTTCCGATTACCCAAAACTCCATGCTTTCTTCCGTGCGTGTCGCATCTAGATGGTGCGACTAAGGAGATTTTCTTTCGGGTTCCTGCCATTTTTTATCATGTTCAAGGCTGAAACGAGGTGGTTCATACAGAAAGGTGAGCTGAGAAAGCTTGGAGATGCTGTTGGGAATGGAGCCATTCAAATTGTTGTTTGTAAGAGTTCTGTGGGGGGGAATGGGGAGAGAGGGGGGGAAGAGGGGGCGGAGGGGTGGGAGGGGACGGGGTGATTCGGGGCGAAAGAAGTGAGGAGATGAGAAAACTGGGAATTGGTTGATGGGCAGCAAGCACACACAAGCACACACAAGCATCCGAAGAGGATGATCATACGAGTTTTGAGACGTCTCAAACGGAGAGGAGATGAGGAAACTGAGAATTGGTTGATGGGCAGCAAGCACACACAAGCATCCCAAGAGGATGATCATACGAGTTTTGAGACGTCTCAAACGGTGAGGAGATGAGGAAACTGGGAATTGGTTGATGGACAGCAAGCACATACAAGCAACCCAAGAGGATGTTGGTACGAGCATCGTGGGAAGCTTGTGTAGCACGCAGTGGAGAACAAGGCATGAGAAGTGTGAGAGAATGAGAAGCGTGAGAGTATGAGGTGAGGAGTGTGAGAGTATGAGGAGTGTGAGAGTATGAGGAGTGTGAGAGTATGAGGAGTGTGAGAGTATGAGGAGTGTGAGAGTATGAGGGGCAAACAAAGGGGGAGGACATTCCGAAGGAAGAAGACATCCGAAGGCGACATTCATAAAAAAAAGGGGTAGAAAGTTAAGTATTGGCGTTGTTTTTTGGTCGACTCAAAGGGTGAAGACACTCCAATGGAAGAAGACATCTGAAGTGGAATTTAATAAAAAAAAAGGGGGGGGTGGAAAGTACTGGCGTTGGGATTTCATACTACTGAATCCTGTTAGATGCAACAATCGACGTTCATATGTGACAGCCATGTTGCATTATTGTTGTCATCGTGCCCTGCTGTACCTGTGTCACCTGTGTGCTCTCCTGCTAAGCTGACCTAATCCGCTGGATTTCGTTGGACTAGCTAAGCACAACAGAAGGCAAGCTCACAGTTTCACTGTGAGACTCTTACAGATCGGAGAGTGAAGTGAGATAGGAGATGCTGTCCAGAATCGATCCATTGAGATTCGCAGTCAAGGATCTATGTGGGTGGGTGGGTGGGTGGGTGGGTGGGTGGGTGGGTGGGTGGGTGGGTGGGTGGGTGGGTGGGTGGTTGAACGACGGAAGAAGTTGAACAAAACTGGACAAATACACGAGTTGCACACACGACAACTCGAAAGCCAAGGCCTTTTGAGACGTCTCAAAAGACAAATACACGAGTTGCACACACGACAACTCGAAAGCCAAGGCCTTTTGAGACGTCTCAAAAGACAAATACACGAGTTGCACACACGACAACTCGAAAGCCAAGGCGCAAACCCGAATGCGAGTCTGCGATCCAAACATCGGGCATGGGGTCCAATCCAATAAAAAACTTGGCGATACACCATCACACGTACATCTGTGTAATAACGGCTGCACCGTCACAGCTGGCCCTGTTAATCCCGTCACAATAAGCATGCATGGCACCGCCGGCAGCATGTGAGGGGTCCAATCCAACCTTGAGGTTACATTATCACACGTACATCTGTGTAGTCATGCCCTAATGTGCCACAAGACCCCGCTACTTGCCATTATCACACACGTACATCTGTGTAATCATGCCTAATGTGTCACATGTAGACCCTGCTACTTGCCATTATCACACACGTACATCTGTGTAATCATGCCTAATGTGTCACATGTAGACCCTGCTACTTGCCATTATCACACACGTACATCTGTGTAATCATGCCTAATGTGTCACATGTAGACCCTGCTACTTGCCATTATCACACACGTAGATCTGTGTAATCATGCCTAATGTGTCACATGTAGACCCTGCTACTTGCCATTATCACACACGTACATCTGTGTAATCATGCCTGCACCATCGCAGCTGACTCCGATAATCTCGTCACAATAAGCACCCCTGGCCCAGCCTGGGAGCGTCTTTCCCCATGCCTTCTGGCAGTCCTCGAGAAACGTCGCTGGCAATAGAGAAAAAACACAGGAGGAAAGAGGAGGAGAGAGCAATAGAGAGAAAACACAGGAGGGGATAGGAGCATCAGTGGCGGATGATGAGGGCGAGGAGACCTCCCTTCAGGAGTCGCCCTCCACTCGCCTACAAGTACAGGGCATGGCGGACCGTGAGGGAGTGGCTGCGGCGTAACGAGGGGAGCGACTGCTGGACCTCCAGTCCAGGCATAAGGCTAGAGTGCCGGCGGATTCGGCGGCCGCGGCAAATGTGCCAAGAGTTCATGAGGAGGAGGCAGAGGCAGTAGGCCCACCGTTGGCACCACTGGCACTTCCGGCCGCGCCATCGGCAGAACCACACCCGGCAATGCCTCAAGAGCTGCCGTTGCCGCAGCTGTCTGCTTTTGCGTCGACTCAAAAGGAGGGGGTAGCAGCCTCACCGTTGGCACCACTGGCCCTTCCGGCCGCGCCATCGGCAGAACCACACCCGGCAATGCCTCAAGAGCTGCCGTTGCCGCAGCTGTCTGCTTTTGCGTCGACTCAAAAGGAGGGGGCAGCAGCCCCACCGTTGGCACCACTGGCACTTCCGGCCGCGCCATCGGCAGAACCACACCCGGCAATGCCTCAAGAGTCGCCTCAAAATTCGCCTCAAAAGTCGCCTCAAAAGTCGCCTCAAAAGTCGCCTCAAAAGTTGCCTCAAAAGTCGCCTCAAAAGTTGTGGCAAGGAGATGCTCGCTGAGGGACTCTCGACTGGGAAACAGCAGCTGCGGGGATGCTCCGCTGACTGCGTGACATCTCGGGGCACGGGCCATGGTGACAAATGGCATGTCATGGTGACAAATGGCATGCCATGGTGACAAATGGCATGTCATGGTGACAAATGGCATGCCATGGTGACAAATGGCATGCCATGGTGACAAATGGCATGCCATGGTGACAAATGGCATGCCATGGTGACAAATGGCATGCCATGGTGTCAAATGGCATGCCATGGTGACAAATGGCATGCCATGGTGACGAATGGCATGCCATGGTGACGAATGGCATGCCATGGTGACGAATGGCATGCCATGGTGACGAATGGCATGCCATAGTGACGAATGGCATGCCATGGTGACAAATGGCATGCCACGGTGACGAATGGCATGCCATGGTGACAAATGGCATGCCATGGTGACAAATGGCATGCCATGGTAACAAATGGAATGCCATGGTGACGAATGGCATGCCATGGTGACAAATGTCATGCCATGGTGACAAATATCATGACAATTCCACCCGTCCAACGTTCCTCATCAAGCCGGGAGGAGGACCGTTTGAAAACCCGCGATCGGGACCAGACCATCATTCAACAGGGCTCTGGGCCCACAATGGGGAACCCCTCAAAATCAGCTGTCATTATGCATGAGCAAATGACCGAACCGAAGCGGACCAATTACTGGAATAATCGAACCGGGCCGGTTCGTTAATTAACTGTTTCAGGCACCACGGTTCGAGGCTCGAGTTCCAAGAAAACAAGGAGCCTCTGAAAACAACGAACACCTTCGGTTCGTTGCGGCTCGGGAACTAACCCCCATCAAACCCGAACAAACCTCCAACCGGTTCAATAGTCGGAACGGTTCGGCCCGTTCACGAACCGGGAGCCAGAAAAGTGGTTCGGTTCGGTAAAGAACGAACCAAACCACGTCGAAGTGTACCGTGGTTCGGCATAACGTAGCAGACGCGAACGCAGCCCTTACGACCGGAATGTACAAACTCCTAAGGGCATCAGCAGCAGCAGATTTGGGCAAGTTGCGCAGAGTCTCCTAAGGGCAGGAGGCAGCGGAAAGGTTGACAAAAAACAGAATGAGGAGACATCAAGGAGAGCATATGTTTTTTGAGAATTCTCAAAAAACAGAATGAGGAGACATCAAGGAGAGCGTATGTTTTTTGAGAATTCTCAAAAAACATAACAATGAGGAGACATCAAGGAGAGACCCACCTTATATCCTTGATGTCTCTTGATGTCCCTGAAACAGGCGGAAGGTTTCCAGGGAGGACGAGGGCACAGCAGGAAGGAATGTCCGACTCAATCCCAGCCTAACCCAAGTCGAGCCACGCCTGCGTGCCGCGTCACAAAGTCCCTGAAGTTCAGGTCAGGGCCTGAACCTGACCCCGACACTGTCTCCCCACGCAACTTGGCCTCGCATCACAACTTATTCGTCCGTACTTGTTCGCGCTCATGTTCCGAAGCATTTGCTGTCGAAGTTGAACAGGTGGGCTGCGGAGGCCTTATTTCCATCAACTCTTACTGTTTAGGACAGAGAAACAAACCCCATGCAATGGTAGTGGAAAGGAACCTGGTGTCGCGCTAGCTTAGATCCTTTCTTAGAGAGCCAGTGTCGCCCCTTTTCGACAGTCGCCAGCCAGCCACCACCGCCTCGCCATCCCCCGCGCTCATGTTCCGAAGCATTTGCTTCCTGCCTCGTGGCACTGCTCATACATACACCTTTGAACTGACCAGGCTCCACGGCAGCATGGTGCCTAGTCATGTTTCTCCTGCACCTTATCCTCCGAACCGAACCTCTGGCACTCATCACCCTGATTAGCAGGCGATGGCAACCAGAGTGCTTCAGTTCCATCATGGAGGCTGGGATACTCTGGATCTTCAGTTCCGTTGTTTGGCTGGAATGCTCTGCACAAATTGCGCAGCTTCCGCATCGAGGTGACTTTTGAGTTGACTCAAAAGTCGCTCTGGACCTTCAGTTCCGTTGTTTGGCTGGAATGCTCTGCACAAATTGCGCAGCTTCCGCATCGAGGTGACTTTTGAGTCGACTCAAAAGTCACTCTGGACCTTCAGTTCCGTTGTTTGGCTGGAATGCTCTGCACAAATTGCGCAGCTTCCGCAATGCAACTCCCTCCACCCCCAAGGCACGCTGACGACGCCACTGGCATCCTCGCGAGAGAGGAGCAGAGGGACTTGCTAAACGAGGAAGCATGGGCAGGTTACTGCAGCCCCTACAGGCCACGCCCGTTTCCTCTGCCTTTTGAGTCGACTCTTAAATCCACCTAACATGGGCAAGCCACTGCAGTCAGTCCAGGCCACGCCCGTTTCATCTGCCATCACCTGAAACACTGGCTGCTCTGCAGTCCAGACACCCAACGGCATAGCAGAGCAGGGTCCCCCCAGACTGGGTTCACAGCTCAAGCGTCCCAACGATGTAAGGGTCGGACCCTCTGGCGCAGCGCTGCTGCTGGCTGGAAATGTCTCAGGATCTGCTTGCAACAGCGGCACTTGTGCAGAGGCGGTTGAGGCTCCCAACAGGCGAGCAGCCGAGCAGTCCACCCCAGAGTGGGTCACACTCTTCTCACAGCCTGCAATCTACCGGAGCCCGGGAGCTACGATGCTTTCTGGCCAAGTGAACCATCGGTGTAGGGGCCGCCGGCCCGACCCTTTCAAGCACAACCTTGGAGCACCTACGAGATGAGTCGACTCCTCAGGCACCACCCCCAGGCACAACCCCCAGGCACAACCCCCATTGGAGCACCTACGAGATGCAGCAATCGGCAAAAGCGACATGTGCAAACACTTCCGTCCATGCGCTAGTCAGCACGGCGCTACCTGCAAGGCTCAGCTCCGATGCGGCGAGATCCGCTCGGATGCAACATGCAGCTCAGACCGCCTCCTGCCTCATCATCGCCTTCACGAAGCCCTCTTCAAGCACGCGCCCTACGGCACGCCCTCGCAACTATTCATGGACCATCACGCAAGGGATGGGACCGCTGCTCTTTGCAGCGAGCAGCTTACGCTCGCTGGTGGAAGCCGCCGACGCACACCCAGGCGTTGGCTTCTCTTCATCACTTGGTTGATGACGCAGTGTGATCAGCAGCTTTCACCGACCTTACTGAGGCCCTCGCCTTGGAGGCCCTCGCCTTGGAGGCCCTCGCCTTGGAGGCCCTCGCCTTGGAGGCCCTCGCCTTGGAGGCCCTCGCCTTGGAGGCCCTCGCCTTGGAGGCCCTCGCCTTGGAGGCCCTCGCCTTGGAGGCCCTCGCCTTGGAAGCAAGGTGCAAAAATACGGCCGTATTTTTGAAACTGCTCTACGATTTCTAACAGGAGCCTATTACACGTTACCGCATTTTACGGTTGATTTTCAAAAAAACGACCGTAATTTTGCACCTTGCTTGGAGGCCCTCGCCTTGGAAGCCCTCGACACAAACAACCCATCCAAGTGCACGGTGGCCTGCACCCGGTGGCCTGCACCCGGTGGCCTGCACCCTGCGGAAATCGCTCGCCAAAATTACGGTCGTTCCATTTTGGCACGCATTGCACCTGGTCTGGCTTTCCTCGAAAATTCCACTCTTGCCAGACGGACTCCGCGGTCCAATGCTCGCCGAAATGGACCCCATTGGGCCAGCCCATGGCTGTGCAGCGCAGATTTTACAATTAAAAAAAAAAAAAAAAAAAATCCTGCTCTTCGCGAACGGTTGGGCGCCGCAGCAGACAGGGTGCCGCAGCGGAGCCACTTCCAATGCCTCACGCAGTGTGCCAAAATGAACCCCCGGCTCTGCCTCTTGCTCACCAGCCGCTATGTGGCCTCTGAACCGCACACACGTCGCTGCCCTGCCCCATACCTCTGATCCGCTGCGTGAAGGCTACTTGTTCCCCATACCTCTGATCCGCTGCGTGAAGGCTACTTGTTCCCCATACCTCTGATCCGCTTCGTGAAGGCTACTTGTTCCCCATACCTCTGATCCGCTTCGTGAAGGCTACTTGCTCCCCATACCTCTGATCCGCTTCGTGAAGGCTACTTGTTCCCCATACCCCTGATCCGCTGCGTGAAGGCTACTTGTTCCCCATACCTCTGATCTGCTTCGTGAAGGCTACTTGTTCCCCATACCTCTGAACTTTCTAGAGCCCTCCTGCCGGTCTCTTCTCTACGCCCCAGAGGGGTAGGAACCTAGGAAATTGCAGCATCCATTACCCTTTGTTGTACCCGCCGGGCCATTGATACGCAGGACCGTTCGAGAGAGGCACAAGCTATTGAGGAGATGCAGCTTAGGCTGTTACTGCTTGGTTGCAAATGTACTCACCTGTGTGTCTGTGTACTGCTGGCTCTAATAATGCAAGGACCGTTCAAGAGAGGCACAGGCTGATGAGGAGATACAGCTTAGGCTGCTTGCAAAGAACGAATGCATTCTATCGATGAATGCAACCTGCGCCAGGAATGTGTCAGGGCATCAGCTTTGCAAAGAACGTCTCTGCTGCCTTCGCCTGCTGATGAGCAGATACAGCCTAGGCTGCTTTTGTAGCATCAATAGATACACCCTGCGCCAGGAATGTGTCAGGGCATCAGCTTTGCAAAGAACGTCTCTGCTGCCCTCGCATGATGCTCTGGATAACGAACGCTCCTGCTATCCGTAGTTGCTATAATAACTACTACCCCTAATCCGCGGAAGTTGCTTACCCCAAGCAACGCGCCTGCTATAGATAAGCAAGAAACGCCCTTTTGACGATGGGTCTCTCCCTACCCCGCTGAAATAACCGACTTCAACACTATATTCGATTGCCTCAAATTGGATAACCAAGAACCAGAGAAGTATTTGGTCGGGTGGTAATACCTGTACTGGTCAAAAAATGATTCAAGGAGGGAGGGAGGCACCTTGAGTAGCGTTGATCACTGCTGCTTGCGCATGGCACTGTGAGACGAAGGCAGCAAGCCAGAGCGCTGCGAAAAGTGCAAGCCATGCTCGCAGCTGCATCGTGATTGGTTTTGGCGGCGCCATTTAAGCGGCGTCGGCGCGGTCTGGATTGTTCAATCGGGATTTATGCGGCGTCGGCGCCATTTATGACAGTCTGGATTTCGCCTACCGTCGTAGCATGATCCCTGACCAATCGGGACGCAGCTCAGGATACCCTATAGCTTTCGCGGAAGTCCTTGCCTGGATTTTCACTTCCCTGTGGCTGCTGAGACTGTGGTTTGCGAGAACTCGATACTGTGTCAGGCTTCGATTGAATCAATTTACTTGTCATCGTTCTTTGGTGTACAATATAACAAAGAAAACAGTTCCACTTGCGTATAACCTGTTCCGATACTGTGAACTGTACAAACTTCGTGCTCCCCACCTCATTTTTCCAGCTTGGATTATGGCGTGTCCGTCGACATCCCTCGACACCGGTTTGGGGATGTCGGTAAATGTTTGCCCTCGGATCGAATGTTCCGACGGTCAGGATATGTCGACCTCAATGGACGGATGTCGACATCCCACTTCTGTCCGGTCAATTCGAACTGCGATCCAATTTTCGCAGTGCGTGTTTGCAAATGCGATCTTTTTGGGCAGAACCAAGCGGCTGCCCGTGTTTAGGTTTGGGGCTCCCCGTGTTTATGGTTGGGGCTCCCCTTGCCGCATGCCATCCAGATGGGGTTTATTTTTTTCTGACCGCTGGCAGATAACGACCCCTCAGCTTCTTCCACTGGGGATCGCATTTGCGAACCGCGCTGGCTAAATTGGATTGCAGCTGAAGTTGTCCCCACTTCTGTCACCCCAATTTCATGACTCAACTGGCACGCCATGTGGGCAAGCCTTGGGTTGGGATCACACGTGCTGGCATTCGGGTCTCGTGACACGACGACATGTAGTGCACGTGGAGGGAAGAAACGGATTTTGCCTGCTGATCTGAGGGATCTGAAGGGTCGGTGCCCCTCTGCAACTTGTTCTTGAAAGATCTGGACCCAGTCCGCGACTTCGTATTCAAACAGCCAAACAGAACTGTAGTTCGTATGGTTGTACATCGACTCCTCGTTTCACACTTGCACATGACCCTTATGGCGTGTGCAAAGTGCTGCAAAAACTCGACGTCGAGGACGTCGAATAGGATACGCGCCCTTAGCGTGCACTATTGCGCCACCTTCGAGTCTACTCGTCGCGTTTTGCGAACAGATGCTTTCTAGCTCGACGAAATCACCTTTTGGGAACACGTTTTCGGGTTGCAATTTATTCACCGTGCAGCTTTGGCAAGAAATCTGCGACTTGAGATTCTCGAGCAGTTATGCTCTGACACTCGGAATCTGCGGCGGCACGAGCCAACCAGCTGACATGTTTCTCCACCCTAAGGGCGTGTTAAATCGCAAACTCCAAAAGTTCGGCCACAATCCGTCGGGCCGTTTTTGCGAAGGTAACCAGTTTGCGACCATCGTAAGTCAAGTGGCGACCGTCGCAAATTTCGTGAAAAAAAATAACGAATTTGATGGCCGTTTAAAATGTCGACACGAAAACGACGCGGAGTCGACTCCGAAACGGCCAAGTAGTCGACACAGTGTGCGACAAACGCATGCGACGTCGCACGGTTTCGTCCAGCGACAGAATTTATGATCGCGTCAAATGAGAAATATCGCCGTCGAAAGTGCGACCCCGTCGCACATACTAAACTACTGTAGTAACTGCAAATTTAACAACTTTTCTGAACCAGCCTGCAATTCGGCCACCAAAGTTGTTAAAACCAGGGTGCACATTCAATTGGATTTCTGTCAAAGGTTAACCTTTGACCTCGGGGTTACTCAGTGATTTAGGAATATCTGGGGGGGTGTTCGCTTCAGCAGGTGAACATTTGAACCCTCGAGATTTGGCAAATGTAAACCGAAGTCATCGAATGTGCTTCCGCCAATTCGTTTCCCCCCTCCCCATACCTATTCCGCTCCCACCGAAATTGTTTCCCCTTCCCCCACAATATCGTCTCACCCCCTTTCCCCTTTCCGCCAACCCAGTTGCCCTCCCCTTGATCCCCAATTTCTAGATCCAAGTGTTATCAATTTCTCCCCTGCCAAGCCTCATCTCTCACGGACGAAAAGCCCCATGCTCGCCCATTCTCAACTATTTATTCGCTACTCGTCAACCAATCAGCAGTTCCCGCAAACATGCCGCCCAAAATTTAGCCTGGAGTCGCGTTGAATGTGTACCCTGGTTTTAAATTGCCAAAACTGTAAAATTTGGCTGTTATAGAGTCGACTCTGATTCGGCCACCTCGTCTTTGTTCGCGAAAAATATGACGACCATTTGGTCGTCGAAAATTCGGCCAGACCCCATTTTCGGAATTGTGTGGCGATTTAACACGCCCTAAATCCTAGGCGGGTGCCCAGGAGTTTCGTGTGAAGGCGGTGTTATGCGGCTTTTTAGCTGCCAATGTGGCAATTTCGGTCGGTTGTGTAAGGTTTTAGGCGAAACAGAGGTGTTTCTAGGACCCCAATATCAGGAACTACAGTTCTTCTCAGCTGCAGTCCTAGGAATTGGCCGACATTCTCGAACCACTGCCTCTGCCTTTGCTGACATCTTTGCGCCGCGTTTCTTGGGATTTATTTCCTGGCCCAAGAAAACACCAGCGGGCTAGCGGGAGGACACAAGGGCCAGATCAAGAATTCTCTGTGCGCGCCTTGGCACTTCTAGGATATCAAGAGCAACCCCCGAGCAAGAAAATCACATAATTTGCAACCCATTGCCGAAAACCCCGTTTCACTCTTGCCTCCCATCTCTCTTGATCTACTAAAACGCCTCGGTATTTCAGAAGCTTCTCACATTTTCGCTCTTTCGTTGCGAAAGTAGAAACCTCTTTTGTTACGTGCATCATGGCTGCGGACGGCAAGTTCTTCGCGTACGCGTGTCTGGGCCCCAAGCAGAAGTTCGAGCCGTTTCACTACGAGCCGGCCCCGCTGGGACCCAACGACGTGCAGATTAAAGTCACGCATAACGGCCTGTGAGTCGCTCGTAACGGCCTGTGAGTCAGCTATAGTCGAGGATTTTCAGCTTCCTTGCTTGCAAGTTCAGTCGATTCGAGTTCCCCTCGCTTTTACGATGGCGTTCAAAATGGAATGCCTCAAACGATTGTCCGGAATTTCCCATTCACGTGCGTAAGAACGGCATGTCATTGTGGTCGAGTTATTCTGCGTGTGTTCTTGACGCTCGCTGATACTTTGGAGATGTCTCAAAAGGAAAAGGCATTGTCACTCAGTCGAGGCGGTGGTAGTTCGTGCTGTGTTCGTTGCCGTCGGTTTCCGTATGGCAGATCCTGTGGTGGTTTTTCGAGGTCGTCGCTCCGTACCCGTTAGAAGCTTGTCCCGCTTACGCCATCCGTCGTCTTGATGTCTCGCGCAGGTGCCACACGGACCTGCACATGCGTGACAATGACTGGAACAACGCGACGTACCCGTTAGTAGCAGGCCACGAGGTGGTGGGCATAGTGGAGCAGGTCGGCGCCAACGTCACCACGCACAAAGTCGTATGTAACTATTTCTCATTCGCTCGCTTCGCTCCTATCCGTCCAACTGAGGAGACGGATGAAATTGAACGAAATTTTTTATTTTCAGCGAGTCGTCGACTCAGTAGTGCCCGAGCGGTACGGAATTTCAAATTTAACTGTAATTCGAAGTCTGTAGTAACACTGTCTCACCCTCCTCCCGAATCGAAGTGACTTCTGAGCCTGCCGCGCGCTGAGAGACTTGTGTATGCGCCGTATGAGCAGAAGCACCTGTGCGCGGAGGGCTACACGGGGCTCATCCTCAACGGCAACAAGGGCGGCTTCCAGCCGCGCCTGCGCGCCCCCGCTGACTTCGCCATCAAGCTGCCGGATGGGTTGGATTCTGTCGATGCCGTTCCCCTCATGTGCGCCGGTGAGTGTCCGTCATGGGGGCTCGGGGCACATGAGGGCTCATGGGGGCTCATGGGGCCTGGGGGCACATGAGTCATCCTGAACGGCAACAAGGGCGGCTTCCAGCCGCGCCTGCGCGCCCCTGCTGACTTGGCCATTAAACTCCCTGATGTGACTGCCTTCTCCACCACTCCCAGCAAGGAGGAGGAGGCGAGGGGCAGGAGGCAAAGAGCATGAGGCGAGGCAAAAGGCATGGGCGCAGGCGCCCTTCTCCACCACTCTCCTTACACCCTTCTCCCCCCTTCCTCCCTTCGACTCTCCCCCCAGGCATCACGGTCTACAGCCCCCTGCGCGCCCACATCACCCGCCCCGGCATGAAAGTGGGTGTAATTCGGCGGCCTCGGCCATCTCGCTTTACAAATCGCGCGGGCCATGGGGGCACACGTGACTGCCTTCTCCACCAATTCCCCCTTCACACCCTCGGTTCCCCCACTTCCTCCCTCCCTTCCTCCCCTCCCAGGCATCACTGTGTATAGCCCTCTGCGTGCGCACATCACCCGCCCCGGCATGAAAGTGGGCGTGATCGGCATCGGCGGGCTGGGCCATCTCGCTTTACAGATCGCGCGGGCCATGGGGGCACACGTGACTGCCTTCTCCACCTCGCCCAGCAAGGAGCAGGAGGCCAAGAGCATGGGTGCACCTCCCTCCTCCTCACACCCTCGCTTCCTCCCTTTCCCTGCCTTTTCCCCTCGCCCCGCACTCGGCCTCTCCCCATCCCCCCTATCCAATCCCCAGGCATCACCGTGTACAGCCCCCTCCGCGCGCACATCACCCGCCTAAGCATGAAAGTGGGGGTGATCGGCATCGGGGGCCTGGGCCATCTCGCCCTGCAGATCGCGCGGGCCATGGGGCCACACGTGACTGCCGTCTCCACCACTCCCTCTCACACCCGCTGTTCCCCTCCTTCCATGCCTTTCCCCGTCTGTCCCCTTGCAACTGCCCCAGGCATCACGGTCTACAGTCCCCTACGCGCGCACATCACCCGTCCGGGCATGAAAGTGGGCGTGATCGGCGTCGGCGGGCTGGGCCATCTCGCTTTACAGATCGCGCGGGCCATGGGGGCACACGTGACTGCCTTCTCCACCTCGCCCAGCAAGGAGGAGGAGGCCAAGAGAATGGGCGCGTAGCAGTTTGTGGTGTATGACGCCCAGGCTGCGCCAGGAAAGGGACATCCGGAGGTGCCCAAGAGTGCGCACGTGGATGTGCTGGTGAACTGCGCGCCTGTGCTGCCTCCTCAAGGCGATTACAGGAACTTCATGAGCCTCCTGAGGCCCGATGGCACGTGAGTCAAGGCTTGGGTAGGGGTTGGGTTGGGTAGGGCTGGGATAGGGGAATGGGGCAGCCTTCCCCGCATTAGCGAGGAGCATGGGCGCACAGCAGTTTGTGGTGTATGATCCGAACGCTGCGCCTGGAAAGGGGCATCCCGAAGTGCCCAAGAGCGCGCATGTGGATGTGCTGGTGAACTGCGCTCCCGTGCTGCCGCCCTATGGGGATTATCTCAACTTCATGAGCTTGCTAAACCCGGATGGCACGTGAGTGTAGGCAAGGGTAGGAGTGGGGTAGGGGTACGGTAATGGGCCGGCCTTCTCTGCATGGGCGCGCAGCAGTCCGTGGTGTATGACACGCATGCTGCCCAAGAGCGCACATGTGGATGTTTTGGTGAACTGTGCGCGCCTGTGCTGCCGCAACAACGATTAACGCAACTGTGCTGATTTTCCTCATCCCTCTTTCCCCTGTCCCTCCTCACCCGTTCCCTCCTGCCCCCCCCTTCCTGCTCTCCTCTCTCCCCTGTACCCTTTTCCCCTTGCCCATTCCCCCTTCCCCCTTCTCAGACTTGTCCTGACCGGGATTCCACCAGATGCTGTCGGGCAGGTGGGCCTGCTGGATCTGATTTTCGGGCAGAAAAAACTTGCAGGATCGGTGGTGGGCGGGCGGATGCTGTTGAAAGAAATGTTTGACTTCTGCGCTGCTAACAGCATCAAGCCCGTGACTGTGGTGAGTGTGACTGTGGCGAGTGTGACTGTAGTGAGTGTGACTATGACGAGTGTGAGTGTGGCTAATGTTATTGTGGTGTTCAAGGGTGTGGGGGGGAGAGTGTTGGTGGGTGTGAGTAGCATTGTTCGTGTGAACTGAGCTGCTTGTGCAGGTGTGGTGATTTTTGTGCACATCACAACCTGGTTACCACCCTGCCGTTACCTGGTTACCACCCTCTCACCTCCCTTCACAACCCTCTCACCTCCCTTCACAACCCTCTCAACTCCCTTCACAGCCCTCTCACCTCCCTTTACCACCCTGTGTCACTTACAGATGCGCCCGCTGTTGCAGCTGAACGAGGCTATGGATGAGGTGGAAGCTATTCCTCGCTCACAAACTCACCATCCCTCCCATCATTGCCTCTCACCTACCTTTCATCTCTCTCCCTCTCCCCTCCCTCTTACCACTTGTTACAGACGCGTCCACTGTCGCAGCTGAACGAGGCAATGGACGACGTTTTGGCCAACAAGGTCCGCTACCGTGTTGTGCTGCTGACCGATGCTGAGTAGATTTGGGTGTGTGATAGATATGGACCGTTGCGGCTCACTTGAATAGATACAGATGGGTGGATGGATATTTGGATGGATGAAGTGGACTCCAAAAAGGTCCGCTTCCGTATTGTGCTGCTCAATGATGCGAGTAAACACAGATGGGTGGATGGCTACACTGTGTGCGGGAGGGTGCGTGAGTGGGTGGGTGGGTGGGTGGGTGGGAGGATACTCTCACCGCCTGGATAGTATGTGTCGAATCTTATACTGGTCTGAAAAATGTATGGCCACCCTGTAACAGAAGTTTATGGGTGTTTTAATAAACCTTAAAGTAGTCGTTTTTTGTAAAAGTTATTTGTACCATGTCGGTCGTTGAATGTGTGGGCGATCTAGGTGTGCTATACATGTGACTGCATCATTATGCCATGTAAGTTTTGCATAAAGTTTTGCTTTCTAGCAGAAATTTATTGAATCAGGTGAAATAAGGATGAAAATGAAATATGATTTGTATTAAATACCAGCGCATCTTCCCGTCATGATGTTGTTTAAAACAAAATTGTATTCAGTCACCTTTTTGAAAGTGTTGAGTTCTGCAAAATTCCAAGCCCTAAATTATCGCAGAACATGCATAACGGCGATGCCCGTTTTTGCTACGGGTTTCGGGTTCTGCAGGGACCCACACGAGCCCACGCTCGCTCTGCCATACCTCCCCCTCCTCCCCTCCACCGTTCCGAAGTGGCCCTTCTCTCACAGTCGTTTCTGTCCCAACAGATCAAAGTAGCTTGTGCTTGGCTTGAGGACCAGTAGAAAGCTTGTGCTTGCAGGTTGCGTTGGTGAGCCAACTCTCCAGCGTCTATCGTGACTTCCTTTTGTGTGCTTTATTTCGACGTTCTGCTCGGTTTGCGCATGAACTTTCCTCACAGGCATGTTTGCCTTTTCGTTTCAGTGCATATTGACTGGATTTCGCTTGCGTGAGTGACGATCAACAAAGATTATGATAGGAAGACCAGAAGTGCTTGCTTTCAGCTGGCGCTTATGCTGTTATTTCGATCCAGCTGACACGCATTGCATTGGAATCCTGCCAAAGTAATAAGCCGTCACTGCATTCGTTTCCGCTCATTCTTTACGCCAACCCAGTGCATTTCGTTTCAGTTTTTGCTTCGTCCATCCGTGACGGACGCTCTCAGTCCTTTTCTTCCTGCGCGTGACGATCCCGTAGGGACATCGGAGCTCTCACAAGGAGCACTGACCGATCCAATACACGGAATTAATGGGAATCTCTCTGATGCAGGAACTTTTTGCTTATTTTCCTCTCTTAGTTTGCAATTTCTGCAGGTTTCTAATTTATCAGATTTTAAGAGTCCGCGTTAGAATGAACTTGACGTCTTGGCTTGTGTCCATTTTGCGCATCTGGGCATTGTTTCCCGCCTCTGTCTGTCACACCCACTTTCCTGCACGTGATGATGCCGTAGGGACATCGGAACTCCTAAGGGAGTAGTGACCGATCCAAAATACGGAATTAATGGGAATCTCTCTGATGCAGGAACCCACATGTACTCGGTTCTCCCCACCTTACGCTGATGTGTTGTGTTGAACCGTTTCTCAACCTTCCCCTCTACCCTTTCTCCTTATACCAGTCTTAGGAAGTCAAAGCATGCGTTCTCCTTTGATGTGGGTTTCCCTTATCACCCTTTCCCTCTACCCTTTCTCCTTCCAACATACCAGTTTCAACCAAAATCTCAGCCTACTAGAGCACGTAGAGTGGCTGAATGGATACATATTCTGCACAGAAACATTGAGCGCAATAAAACCTTTAGGAATCATGTTTGTAATGTAAAGGAAAGCAATCATTAGCACGATTCTGTGGTCAAGCTAGCTAGCTGGTCACGGAGGCTCTTTAAACAAAAAATATGATGCACAAATCAACCTACGCATTCTCAATTACATATATACGCCACATGTGCTCACCTAACACAGTAACACCACAGCACATTTCTCCTGGCAGAACAGCACGACTTTGTTGGCTCTTTGGCGGCTCGCTTCGCTATCCATGCCAGTCCCCATGCGTTGAGCTGGTTGCATTGCACAGTGATGAGCCTGCTAAGCTAGTCGAGAAGTAGAAATCATTTGGCGCCGCGCACAGCTTAGCAGACTCAGTTTCAGAGGAATTCGGTCAGCCTGGGTCGCGAAGAAGCGTGGGCGATTCGACGAGAACCACGTGATTCAACAACCGTGACTATACGAGCTGTGACTAAACGAGCCCATGAAAAAACGAGCCGACTAGCCGAGCCGTGACTGTAAATGCTCCAGATATCAGCAATAGACCGCGCATGTTTCAACCTTTAGACAAGGTGACGATTGCTGCAGAGGCGCACACTCACCGATGCTCGCAGCAGAGCAAGCAGGTCTAGCAGCAACTGCGCGTCGCCAGCAATCGACACTCACCGATGCTCGCAGCAGCTGCGCGTCGCCATCTGCCGCTCTAGTACGAGCCGTGACTGTAGGGGAGCCGAGATTGTAGGGGCGGCGAGTGCAAAAGCCGCCTTGATTGTCCCACCCTGCAATGGACCGCACATTGAAGGGTTTGGATAAGCTGACGATTGCTGCCGAGGCGAACAGCTACTGACTTTTAAGCCAACCCCCATCTGTCTATTCGCTGAAGTCATCTTGATTCTCTCTCACCCAGCGACGGAGCGCGCATTACAGGGTTTGGGTAAGCTGACGATCGCTGCCGAGGCGAACACCCACTGACTTTTGAGTCAACGCCGGTCAACGTTATTGTACACTCGCTAGTCAACGCGATTGCATCTCACCCAGCGATGGACCGCGCATTGAAGGGGTTGGATAAGCTGACAATCGCAGCAGAGGCGCACACCCGCCGGTGGTCCCAGCAGTTGCTTCCGGACCTTCTCGCCCTGCTCTCCTCGGCCTCTGCCATTCTTGATAGACTCCCTGTAAGCTGTTCCGATATAATGTATTCTCTTATCATGCATCACTGTAAGCAGCTGCTCCCTCTTGCCACGTCTTTTCTCCCTCTTTGATTACTATCTTCGGTATAGGCATACTCAGTAGCTTCACTGTGGTAGTCAGTCCATATGCTATGCTAGTTTTTCCATAACCTCCCTCTGCTCCCTCTCCTCCCTCTGCCCTGCTCCTCCTCCCTCTGCTCCCTCTGCTCCCTCTCCAACCTCTCTGCCCTGCTCCTCCTCCCTCTGCTCCCTCTGCTCCCTCTGCTCCCTCTCCACCCTCTCTGCCTTGCTCCCTCTGCTTCCTCTCCCTCTTCTCCATTTTCTCTGCTCCCTCAGCTGCCCTGCTGCTACCATCTCTGTCCCCGTGGTGCCATGTGTGAACGAGGCATGCTCTTCATGTGTGACAGGAAGAGCAGATCATCGACCCATGCTTCACATCTCCCCTTTCTCCTCCGCTCCCTCGCCTCCCTCCCCGCCCTGCCCCCTCTGCTCCCTCTCCTCCCCGCCCTGCCCCCTCTGCTCCCTCTCCTCCCCGCCCTGCCCCCTCTGCGTCCTCTCCTCCTTTACCCTGCTCCCCACCACCCCCCCGCCCTGCTGCGACCATCTCTGTCCCCGTGGTGCCATGTGTGACGGGAAGGGCAGATCATCGACCCATGCTTCCTATCTCCACAGCCGCTCATTCTCCCCGTGTTTCCCAACATCCACTCATCCCTTTGCTCCCTTTTTTCCTCTGCTTCCTCTGCTCCCTGCACCCTCTGCCTCCTCTGCTCCCTCTGCTGCCCTCTCTGCTGCTTCCGCTCTCTCTGCTCCTTCACATCTCCCTCCCCCCTTCTCCTCCCGTTCGCTTTTCTTGGATTGCAGGTGCTTCTCAATTCATCCCCTCCGCCATCTCTTCTCCAGCATCCCCATAGATAACATCTCCTCCCTCCTGCATCATGGCACCAATGCCACTCAAGCCGCAACGCCCGCCCTGTTTCGACCTGAGCCAGCGTGGAGGTCCGACGGTTCAATCGTGGGTTTTCACGATGAACGTCTTCTTCGACACGAATTACGTCGAGTCGGACGCAGCGAAGATTTGGTATGCCGTTTCGCTGTTAAGGGGCCCCGCCATGGACTGGTGGCGAGTCATTGTGACGTCGCCACGCGCCTACGAGCCACCGTCGCAAGAGGAAGGGCCCACGGGTCCAGCTGTCACCTGGAGTTCATTCTGCGAGACCGCCCAATACAGCACGTGGGATGCGTGGTGCGCAGGGCTTCGGGCGCGCTTCGAGCCGATCGCGGCTTCTATTTCGGCACGTCAGAGATTGCGCACTTTGCGACAGCTCGGGTCGGTTCAAGATTACACGAGCGGTTTTCTCGCACTTTGCGAGCAGGTCGGCTACATGCACGAAGCGGAGCGGGTGGACCGTTACGTCGGAGGGCTGAAGCCGGATATCTCGCACGAAATCATGCTGCGCGGACTCTCAAACTTCAACGAGATTCTCGCGCTCGCCGAGAAAATCGACATTCTACGCCGACCGAGACCGGGGTCCTACTACGGACATCGTCCTCGGGGACCGATCGAGCACGCCACTGTAAACGCTGTTGCAACGAATGCAGCTGCCGCACCGTTTAAGGGGCGCTGCTTTGCTTGCAACAGGCCGGGCCATCGCAAGAGCGAATGCCCAGAGGAGCTAAGGCGCCACGGAGTAGAGCAGGGGAGGGAGTCTCAGAGGCAGGGAAACGCCAGCAGTCAGTAGAAGTTGGGCCAACTACTGACGAGACTGCCTGCTCGCCCAACCGCACCGACCCTCACCGAGTCACAGTACCGATTCACGCCATCGATCTCGCCCAACTGCGCGAAAATTACAACTGACACTTAGTCGCTGCTTACCTGAGATCGACGCACGCTTAGTTGACGGCACGCCGCTGGCCATACGGGAGAAGGTGGAGAGAGTAAAAGTTCGCTGCGGAGGAACCTTCGGGTTTACACAGGAAATGCTCGCGACGACATTGGATGGGCATGATGTTTTACTGGGACGTGATTGGCTACGACGGTACAACCCACGAATCGACTGGACGACGGGTAGCTGCACTGTGCGAAGTAGCGGTAACTGGGTCATGCTACCTCGCTGGCAGTCGCCCGAGTCCTCAACGGTCCACGTCAACGCCATCACGATGAAACGGGTTGTCGCCGCTGGAGCTGACGTGTACGCAGTAGATATAGCATTAGTAGGAGAAGCGGAGCAGCCGAGCGACTTTCAGAAACTGTTGGCAGCAGTACCGCCCGAACTACAGGAACTGTTGAAACGGTACCCGGGGATTTTTCCAGACGACTTACCGGAAGGGCTGCCACCTCAGCGGGCGCATGATCATAGGATCGAGTTAGAACCGGAGGCACAGCCAACTGTACAGCGCCAGTTCAGACTGACACAGCTCGAGCTCGACGAACTGAGGAAGCAGTTAGATTATTTGTTAGAGAAGCAGTTTATTCGACCAAGTTCGTCACCGTTCGCCGCACCGATACTGTTCACACCGAAAAAAGACGGAGGGTTTCGCATGTGCATCGATTACCGAGCGCTCAACAGGGTAACAGTCAAGTCGCGGTACCCCATTTCCCGCGCCGACGAACTGATCGACCAACTGCGAACAGCACGGGTGTTTTCGAAAATAGACTTACGGGGGGGGTTACCATCAGATTCGGGTCGAACCATCGGACTGCGCCAAGACAGCATTTAGGACTAGGTACGGGTCGTTTGAGTACACGGTGATGCCTTTCGGGCTGACCAACGCGCCCGCAACATTTCAGATGACCATGAACGAGGCGTTTAGGCCACTCTTAGATAAATGCGTGATAGTTTACCTCGACGACATCCTCGTCTACAGTCGCGACAAGCAGCAGCACTTAGCGGATCTCGAAGCAGTATTTAAAGTTTTAGAGGAACATCGGTTACTCACCAAGGGCTCTAAGTGCGAGTTTTTTCGGGACAGACTAGAATTTTTGGGGCACGTTATTTCGGAGGCTGGAGTTGAAATCGACCCAAAGAAACTGGATACGGTAAAAGCGTGGCGTCCCCCGGCGAACATCACGGAACTGCAGAGTTTTTTAGGGTTCGTTAATTATGTTCGTCGGTTCGTCCCCGACATGGCACAGTTGACTGCCCCGCTGACGGATTTACTGCGAAAGGGAGTCGTTTTTACGTGGGGGGAGAAAGAGCATGCTGCCTTCTCTGCCCTGAAAATGTTCTCTGTTCACCGCCCGTCCTGCGCATCGCCGACCCACACCGCCCCTTCGAGGTTGTTACAGACGCAAGCGACATCGCCATTGGAGCCGTACTGTTACAGGACTTCGGCAACGGCCTACAGCCCATCGCATACGAGTCACGAAAACTGCATCCGCCCGAGCGAAATTACCCGATACACGACCGCGAAATGCTCGCGATCGTGCATGCGTTCAAAGTGTGGCGCTGCTACTTGACCGGCGCAGACGTGACCGTACGGACAGACCACCAATCACTACAGTACCTCCGCGCACAGCCCCACCTCAACCCACGACAGATTCGGTGGCTCGATTTCCTCGAGTCAAACTTCCACTACACAGTCACCTATAAAAAAGGAGCCTCGAACATCGCCGACGCACTGACCCGCCCCACTGCCCAAATCCACGCGATACTACTCGCCCAGACCAGCCCGCTACTGACAGGACTATTTACCCACGGATATCAAACGGACCCATTCTTTACAGGAGGAAATTCGCAGCAGTTCGCAGCAGCCAAGGGAGTCTATTACGTAAAAGCCGGGACCGACCGCATCTGGGTACCAGGGTACACACTACTACGGGAATTACTATTACAAGAGGCACACGACGGGGTTACCTCACGACATTTCGGGGTAGAGAAAACACGGCAGCAGCTGCAGCGGTATTATTGTCAAAGTTATATGACATAGCTACTGTAGGCTATAGTGGGGTAGCACATATGGGGTACAGTTGCCTAGGGTTTGCCTTTTGTACCCAACTTTCACTTAGTCATTTCATTCCTGTTTTCTTGATTCACATGGTATAGAGCGGGTTCCTACATGGGACCGTTCCTTCCTAAGGGCCCACCATAAGAATTTTTTTTTTAGCTGCCTGCGCACATTGCGCCCTGCCCTAAAAAATTTTTTAGCGGCCCCTACGCTGCCCCTACGCGGCCCCTACGCCGCCTCCCACGCGCCCCCTATGCGGCCCCTGGCGGCGCCCTGACGAGGCCCCTGCCGGCGCCCTATCGCGGCCCCTGACGCGCCCCCTGGTGGCGCCCTGACGCGGCCCTGACGCGGCCTGACGCGGCCCCTGGCGGCGCCCTGACGCGGCCCTGCCGCGGCCCCTGACGCGGCCCTGACGCGGCCTGCCGCGGCCCCTGCCGCGGCCCTGAAGCGGCCCCTGACGCGTCCCTGACGCGGCTCTGCCGCGGCCCTGACGCGGCCCTGACGCGGCCCTGCCGCGGCCCCTGGCGGCGCCCTGACGCGGCCCCTGACGCGGCGCCCTGACGCGGCCCCTGCTGCGGCCCTGACGCGGCCCTGCCGCGGCCCCTGACGCGGCCCTGACGCGGCCTACTACGGCCCCTGCCGCGGCCCTGAAGCGGCCCCTGACGCGGCCCTGACGCGGCTCTGCCGCGGCCCTGACGCGGCCCTGACGCGGCCCCTGACGCGGCCCCTGCCGTGGCCCCTTCCGCGGCCCTGACGCGGCCCTGCCGCGGCCCCTGGCGGCGCCCTGACGCGGCCCCTGACGCGGCGCCCTGACGCGGCCCTGCCGCGGCCCCTGACGCGGCCCCTGCCGCGGCCCCTGACGCGGCCCCTGACGCGGCCCCTGTCGCGGCCCCTGACGCGGCCCCGCCACCTACCTTTCCGGCCACGCCGCCTCCTCTCAGCGGCCCCGCCGCCTCCTCCCAGCGGCCCCGGACGCTGCCCTCTCAGCGGCCCCGCCGAGCCGCCCAGCAGCCTAGCCGCCCAGCAGCCGAGCCGCCGAGCCGCCCAGCAGCCGAGCCGCCCAGCAGCAGAGCCGCCGAGCCGCCCAGCAGCCGAGCCGCTGAGCCGCCCAGCCGCCGAGCCGCCCAGCAGCCGAGCCGCCCAGCAGCCGAGTCGCCGAGCCGCCCTGCAACCGAGCCGCCCGAGCCGCCCTGTCCGGTAAGAGCAGCGCCTCTCTCACAGCACTGCCCTCACCCCACTGTTTGCGCTGCTAGTCTACTGCTGTCATGGCTACCCCTAGTGTCCTCGCTTTTGACGCTGAGGGTCGGGCCATTGACTTTGACGTCTGGATAGATGACCTGCAGCTTTTTCTTACAGTGCGATAGGGCAGACGGCCTCTCCCTCTTTGACCTCACTTCTGGTGCCTCTCCTGCCCCCGCCACTGATGCTGACGCAACTGTTCGCTCCCAGTGGGCCACGCGCGATGCTGCTGCACGTCTTGCTGTGCGTCGCCACCTGCCTACCTCTGAGCGTGCGCACTTTAGCCAGTACAAGAGTGCTCAGACCTTGTACGACGCTGTAGTTGCACGCTACTCCTCCCCTGCCACTGCTGCACTGAGTCGCCTCATGCTACCGTACCTCTTCCCTGACCTTGCTGCCTTTCCCACAGTCGCTGACCTCATTACGCACCTACGCACTAGTGACAC